ATAAATACGCCGTAAGAATCCTATTTGAGTACTTAATGCTATTTTTTACGCGAAATATCACTCAAATGTTTGTAAGGTATGCAAATAACTTTCTGCTTAAGAGCAGGTCCCTAGGTCATAAATGGGGGCTTGCTTCAGGGAGTGTCTGTAGCAACTGGAAAATAGCCGGGGGCAGGAAAAGGAGTAGAAACATGTGCCAGAGGTGTCTGAAGGGCCTCCACTTCCCTGTTTCCCAAAAACACAAGTCTTAGGACTTATTTTGGCTTCATCCATAATTCACAACATTGATAAAAGTAAGTCATATTTATTCTAAGTTTTAAACAAAATTACACGCATAAATTATGCAAATCGGGATATCTAATTTGCATAATTGTTGAGATTTCAGTTTGATTCATAAAGATTTTTCTATATGTATAACACACACGGCACTAGATATCACAAATGTACACTTCTCATTCAAATACAAATCTCAATTTTCTGCAAGCATACTGCACGGAAAGTTTTAGGTTTAAATAACACCATATTTTCAAAGACTATTACTCCCTAACCCCACACCCCTCAAACAAAAATAGAAGCTTTTTGTATAGATCCTTTATACAAATGTAATACCGAGCAATGGGGGATATGGCAGAGGAGGGGACAAAACATGCACTCAAGTAACGCACTTGCAATATTTAAATATAAAAAATCTCATTTAGCTCTGTCATAAATTTTATTTAAGGAAATAATATTTCCTTCATGTTCCCCTAGAAAAAAAATGAAAAAACAGACTTTTGTAGGTAGGGGGTGGGGCTGAAAATTAGAGAAAATGTGTTGTCCTCGGCAATGAGCTTATGTGCAAAGTTTCAGCTCGATAGGTTGACAGGAAGTGGGTCAATTGGCTGTTAGAAGATTTTACCAACCAGCCAAAACAATAGCGAAGTTAATATAATTATAATGGATTTTAAAATATGTTTCATGCTGTCAGTAAAAATAGTCGATAAACTCGCTAAACTAACAATTTTAATGAATATTGTGGCTTTGATGAGGAACAACGTAGGAACCATTCGTTTTGAATCTTAAACTTACGTCTCAAATAGGTCAGATTGAGCTTAGAACTCAAACCACAATAAAATTTCAATGGGTTAAGTAGGTCAGTTTCTATTTTGAGACTTCTAAATTGGGTCAATCGGTGCACTATTTTAATTTTTTTGTAAAAAAAACTCTGGTCGATAAAAATCAAAATAGTTATCCAGAAGTATTGTACGTCCTTAGTTTCCAAGGTATGGCCTCTACTTGCTCGAAAACTGAATCTAATTATTGCCCTTAGTGGCTTTAAAACTTCATGAAAGTGTTGCCGCCAGTGGCTCTGTAACTACATCAAAGTGTTTCCATCAGTGGCTCTGTAACTGCATCAAAGTGTTGCCGTCAGTGGCTCTGTAACTGCATCAAAGTGTTGCCGTCAGTGGCTCTGTAACTGCATCAAAGTGTTGCCGTCAGTGGCTCTGTAACTGCATCAAAGTGTTGCCGTCAGTGGCTCTGTAACTGCATCAAAGTGTTGCCGTCAGTGGCTCTGTAACTGCATCAAAGTGTTGCCGTCAGTGGCTCTGTAACTGCATCAAAGTGTTGCCGTCAGTGGCTCTGTAACTGCATCAAAGTGTTTGCCAACAGACTAACTACATGGCTGTACAGATCTGCACAAAACTTACTAAGAGTTGCAACATTATCGAGGTCGGTGCATTGATACAAGTAACAAGATAACTTTGGTTCACTACCTCGAGGTCGGCGCATTGGTACAAGTAACAAGATAACTTTGGTTCACTACCTCGAGGTCGGCGCGTTGGTACAAGTAACAAGATAACTTTGGTTCACTACCTCGAGGTCGGCGCATTGGTACAAGCAACAAGCTAAATGTGGTTCACTACCTCGAGGTCGGCGCATTGGTACAAGCAACAAGCTAAATGTGGTTCACTACCTCGAGGTCGGCGCATTGGTACAAGCAACAAGCTAAATATGGTTCACTTTATCTCAAAGTTTTCACCGCACTAACAATATGTATAATATAATTTTCAGTCCCTCAAACGTAATACCCCCCCCCCACACACACACACACACACAATGCAATCAAAGGAACATAGTGGTTAACACAAAGAAGGAGGCCATGTATGAATTCATGTGGTTGAAGATTAAATCCTTGAAATATTTTGTTTTCGCTCAAATCATGATTGCAGATATTTAAATTGTCTGTTCGATAGATATATCTGATACATATATAGTCTTCTAGACAGGTATATCTGATACTTAAATAGGCTACTCGATAGGTTTATCTGATACTTAAATAGGGTACTCGATAGGTATATCTAATGCTTAATGGGCTACTAAATAGGTATATTTGATACTAAATAGGCTACTCGATAGGTTTATCTGATACTTACATAGGCCACTCGATATGTATATCTGTTACTAAATAGGCTGCTCCATAGGTATATCTGATACTAAATAGGCTACTCCATAGGTATATCTGATACTAAATAGGCTACTCCATAGGTATATCTGATACTAAATAGGCTACATGATGGATATATCTGATACTAAATTATAGGCTACTCCATAGGTATATCTGATACTAAATAGGCTACATGATAGATATATCTGATACTAAATAGGCTACTCCATAGGTATATCTGATACTAAATTATAGGCTACTCCATAGGTATATCTGATACTAAATAGGCTACATGATAGATATATCTGATACTAAATAGGCTACTCCATAGGTATATCTGATACTAAATTATAGGCTACTCCATAGGTATATCTGATACTAAATAGGCTACATGATAGATATATCTGATACTAAATAGGCTACTCCATAGGTATATCTGATACTAAATTATAGGCTACTCCATAGGTATATCTGATACTAAATAGGCTACATGATAGATATATCTGATACTAAATAGGCTACTCCATAGGTATATCTGATACTAAATTATAGGCTACTCCATAGGTATATCTGATACTAAATAGGCTACATGATAGATATATCTGATACTAAATAGGCTACTCCATAGGTATATCTGATACTAAATTATAGGNGGGGGGGAGGGGGGGTGGAGGTGCGCACGGCTGAAAAAGGTTAGATCATGTCAATGAAAAACAACAGGGCACACAATTTTTTAAAATCAATTTATAGACTATATATAGTTTAAGATACAATATGATATTACTGTATTCAAAAATATTATAAAAATAGTATAAAATCGTTGAGTATTATTTTTACTATTTAAAAGCTTTTAGTTTTTGTTTTGTAAAGAAATAAAGTGTTTATAGAACATGTAACCTTTTTAACTTGTCTCACACTTATGCTCGTGCGCACAATAATTTCTCAAATTGTGTAAAACACGCACATTTTGCGCACTGAGACTAGAAAAAATTAAAGGGAACATTGATCGGCACCCCCTGAGGAACCCAACTAATTATATTTATTCTCGGGTTTGAAGCACACAAATTTTGAGATCACAGGCAGCAAAATAAATTTTTCTGGTCAATTCGAAGGAATAGGCGGGAGAATAAATCAAAAAGATGTGTTAAGTTGCCCAGCGAAAGTGCCGATACTTAAATCACATGAATCAATTTAAAACGAAATGTTATTATCTGTATATATTATTTCCGTTGTGAAAAGTGAAATTATTTTTTTTTATGTTAACTCTAAGAATACGCAGATATTTAATCTAAAATGTTTTTGGCTGTTATGACTAAAATTTCCAGCGAAAACCATAATTTTCTTTTTCTTTCCACATAGTAATTTTAACTGAAGAAATTCTAATACATGGAGGCATTCTCTCCCAGCCCAAAATCAAAATGGAAGCGGCTGCTTCCCCAACCCCATTGTGTAGACGCCCCTGCTTAATACAACCAGAAAATAAATTCTTTGTGGGACATCATTATAGGGCAGGGGTCTCAAACTCACGGCCCGCAAGACGATATTTTGCGACCGATACCTGACAGTAAAGTTTAGTGTTAATGCGACCCGCGCGTTTTCCCCATTCTCAAGTCTATAATGGTGACCCAACGCGACGGTTCCAGTCAAATCTCACCGATTAGTCTAATTCTGATTTTTATTAGGTTTGTTATAGATTTGGACGTTTAATTATAATGGTAAAAGTCGTTTTAAAATCGGACTAAAAGTTTTTATTCTATAGCATTTTATGAGACAAACATGGCCGAAGTTTTGTTTTGAGAAAAGTTTAAAAAGTAAGTTAGTGGGTAATGCACAGCCATAATTGTGTAAATCGTAGCAATCTGATATAGTATCAAAGAATCCCCTATACAATAGCCGCTAGTGTTTACAAATGAGGGAAATTCCGAGCCTGTCAGCTTGGTCACTTTCAAAATATGATCAGTCAAAATGGAATTTTCTGTGATAAAAATAAAAATTCATTCTCCCTACAATAGCATATTCTTTCACATTAATAATTCATAAATATTGCCTGCTCCTGCTTACTGTTTGAACGCGTTTTAGCATTCAAAGCCTTCAGGGAGAAGGATGGGATGGTTGTTCTTGTACTAAGTTAACCCAAATTGCTCATGGACATGGCTTTTCTTGTTGACATTACACAAGAGCTGAATGTACTGAACAAGAAATTACAAGACCTGGGGTAACTTGTCAGTGTTACCTGTGACATTGTCAGGATATTCTGCACAAAACGTCTGTTATGGTTCTCAGAGACCTCTGCCATTTCTCAACATGCAAAGCACTAATGGATTCGGGCACACCATTCCGTAGTAAGTATACTGATGCCATTGCAAAGCTACAGATTAATATGCAATTATATTTTAACTAAAAGTTACATCCAAAAAGGTCAAAATAAATTATTAATTATTATTAATGGAATATTGCGACAAGATTTTGGTAATTTTCTGAGACAGGAAAATTTGTTTTGATGGGAATGTAGGCTTCTATAATTCGACTTTCAGTATAAAATCCAGACCATGTTTAGTTTCCATGTGGATACAAGATGGTTGACATTTTATTTGTTTTGCCTACATGGCAAGCTATCCTCCTTTGCCTCTTATTCGCGGTGATTTATGTTAGTAGCTTGTACATATGGGGTGGATCGACAAAGGACAAAAATAGGTACTTAAATATAAACTCCTTTAAATGTACGCTTTAATAGTTTTATTCGAATTGAACATTACATTATCTGCAACCAATTAACGAGGTCAGAATAAATTGAATAATTATTTTATTTTCGATAACTATATTTAAATTAAAGTAAAGACAAAATTATATTAAGTGTGAATACTGATTCTATAATCAAAATTAATCACATATATGGATTGCACTGTTGCTAAATGAATGAACAATTAACTCAAGTATGAATGGTCAGCATTACCTTAAGTCTTATAACTTATAGTCCTTTAGTCGTTTAGGCCTCTAACTCTAGTGCTTCATCAATGTCGCCAATGCCCATGCTGTTAACGTTGAAGTAATAATCAAGTTTAAAGGTAGATTTTGATTTAGGAACTTAGGTAACAAAAATCAAAATTTAAAAAAATATTTCATTACAGTTACATAGAGCAAATTTCAAATAAAACAATTAATAGGGACGTCGGTATAGACCGGAAATACCCGAAAAATGGGTATCGTATTTTCGTTGTCATAATGGCGACATCTACTTTTTAATTTACTGAGGGTATCGTTGTTTCGCGTTTCATAATCGATTTTTAGCATAATAATATAATTTTACTTCCGCCAATTACTTAAAGCCGACATCTTTCCTGTTATATTAAGAGTTCGTTTGATTTTTTGGGTCAAGATTAAAGCTTTGAAAATTGAATTTAAAAATTGGTCAACTTCACTCAAGAATAACTTTTTTTTTAAAATGCGCTCTTAAATAAAAATACTCCGCTCTTTTAGTTTATATGTTCATTTTAAAACATATCCAAAATTCATGAGTGTAGACCATCGGTGGGCTTCAAAAACGAATTTCCAAGATGTCATTTTTTAGGCTATGTAATTTGTCATCATGGCCACCGTGCTTGTCTGCTTATTTCCAATTATCGATAGCAGCCGTGGGGTAATTAATAATTCATTAAGTTGGTTATCCAGAGTGTAAATGGGAAATATAACTAATAATAAATCATTTTATATAAATAAAAAATGTTTTATAACATAAATAATTATTATTGGCTTATTGAATATCAGTGATTTTAATTTTTGGGTTGGTTGCCATGGACCTGGCTGACACTGACATGGGAATGATAAGCTCTTGTCTTTCACTTAGATGGTGATAGGCTTAGTTTAAGTATTTTAATAGTATTTATTATTTATACTATTATAAATGATTTAAGGAGTGAGATAAATAGCTTTTATTACAACTAATATATTTATCATTTATATTAGTTTATATATTTATAGATAAATATTTATTTGTATATATAATATATATATAATGACCATTAGGCTAGAGGCCTTGTATACATATAATATAGTATAATACAAAGTATACTATATCAGGGTTAAGGCCTAGACCCGACCCAACTAATTTGTAGGGCCTATTATAATAAATTATATTTAATGATATTTTAGGATATGTAATAAAATTTTATTGAATATTGTGATTCTTACTTAAGGCATAAACTAAGTAAAACATTTTGAAATATTCACTTACCTTTGGTATTGAAATATCCTATATTTAATCACATATCACAATATTCCACAAGAGAATTATTATATAATCCTCGGTTTCTCAAAGAAAAAACACACTTTCTGGCACTACAATCCAAGAATTACTTAAGATATTATTAAAGAACAATCATAATAACCCGTACTTACCTCTAGTAAATGACTAGAACTTATTTTATTAACAGCTAAAGTCAAAGTTGATTCTAATAATACATGTGGATTTGTAAAACAAGATTACAAACTTTAAATAAATGACATGCTGATTGTTTTGTCATACTCATAGGAATAATATAATATATAGTATACATATGTAGAAAATGGTAAAATAAAAAGTATAATTGTCAATTTTAAATAAATAAAACAAATAATCCCTTTATTATTTGTTTATGCTTATAAATGCTAAACAATTCCACAGAAAATCTGCAATTAATATATAAAGAATATTATTATTATTATGATTTTTGGGAAATTAAAAACAAAATTAAAACAAAATTTTAATTAATTAATTACAAATAAGTGATGTGTCAGCATTTTTATACATTGTTAATATTATTAATAGGCAAATAATAAAGTGTTTTTTTTTTAATATTTGCGGCACATTAACAAAAACTAATGTATATTTTGTGGCTTTATTTAGAAGTACTCTTATTTAATTATGTTCCCTGTAAATATTATATTTTTGTCTCATTTTATAATAAAGTTATAGGCGTTAAAAAAAAAAGCAAAATGAGGGTCACAAATGTGGAGGAAAATCCCATAGTAAAAAAGTGGTTTTGAGGTCCCTACTAAAAAATTCATAACTTTTGAACCACTTGAGCTAGAAAGTTGATCTTGGTGTTTTTGTAATCTATTCTCCAGCTGTAGTATTTTTATATTTTTAAAAATGTTTTGAAATTTTCATCAAAGTGGCTACAATTAAACCAGAATTAACTTTCTAGCTTAGAGCTTTTTGAGTTATGATTTAAAATCTGAGTTTTTTTGGTATTTTGGTAAAGGCAAAGAGTAGGGAATGATTTAATATGTGAGTTCGTTTGGTATTTTGGTAAAGGCAAAGAGTAGGGACCTCGGTATGATCCGCAAAGTGCCGAAAACCCGGGTATTGTGATTTCGTTAACAAAAGGGAAGTGTTATCCACACAGCTCTGTGAATAATGTTGAGCGTTATCGGCAGACCGAAATCTTCGAAAAATGCAGAGCGTTATCGGCAGACCGAAATCTTCGAATAATGCAGAGCGTTAGTGTTAGACAGAAATGTTCCCATAATTACGCAAATTTCTAGAAATAATTAGGATCACATTCCAAGCAGGGGTGGGGGCGTAGTTTAAGTAGTGTAGGATAGATCGATCTTTAATGAGTATGGCACAAACACATCTCAAAACGGAAGCTACCGGTATGCACAAGTTAAATTTAATAGGCCTAACTATAGCCTATATATTGGATATAGGACAATTAATTGTGCCTACATCTGCTCTGTTAGGGGCCAACATAGGATCTATTCGACCTATAGAGTGTTACTAATAGATCCAGTCAAGCCTCCTACTCCTACTCCTAGACATAACTAATTTTCTGGTATTTCCTTTTAAATGTTATACCAGTAATAAAAATGGTACCGGTATTCTTCATGTAGACTCACTTTCACCCATTGTAGAGATGTCTTTAAATCATGTCAAAGCTTGATAGGATATCGTTAAGTTTTTTTAAAGCTCTATGATATATCACGTAGTCCAGAAATGTTCTGTCAGAAACAGTGTTATGATGCAGAGAGGTGTCTGCATCAGGCGGCCATGTGAGAGACGGGGAGGGGTATATAGGCCCTACATCGATAATAACAGAATCTAATCCTGTTTAAGTTTAAGGCTAGTATTTTTTCCTCATCCTTGAAGGTGTCCCTAAGTCTACCCAGCTCTGGCCTTAGCTGGGAAAAGTAAAGGTGGCTGGTTATTGCGCTGGCCATACACTCAAACTTGTAAACGCTGCTTCAATTGCCCCAAGGGAACTTTACTTCCCAAAGACTCGCAATGCATCCTACGACCAGCAGGGTTCCAATTAATTTTTGTATGCTTTTTTTGTTTTTAGACCCATAGTTACAACAGTGGCAGTATGGCTTTTTGTTTCAATATCAACATTTATTTTACAAGGGCTAAAATTGTTGATGTCAATGATATTGATATGTTTTAAGTACGGTACCGGTATGTGCATTTCATGTCATCACTAAGTGTTATTTCAACTATTTCTGGAGCGGCATATTGTGTCCCTACTTATTATGATACTTATTAGAAAATAAAATGAAACAAATAAAACGTGACATATTTTTTCAGCTAAACATTAATACACAACTCTGAGATATAAAATATTTGAATAAGTAAGTTATTAATATTTATTTGTTTATTAGAGAAAAAACAAATGGATGTTAAAGTCTATGAGTCGAATTATACAAAGAAAATTAAACAGTCAAAAGAGCTAAAAGTATATCACAATGTACAGTTAGAACAGCTGTATCTGACTTAAACATGGTTTATGCGGCTCATCTGCATGTCCATGTTGTTTACAGTTAGAATTATACAAAGAAAATTAAACAGTCAAAAGAGCTAAAAGTATATCACAATGTACAGTTAGAACAGCTGTATCTGACTTAAACATGGTTTATGCGGCTCATCTGCATGTCCATGTTGTTTACAGTTTTTTGACGAAACTTGAATGAACATTCTAACAAAATAGATTGAAACTAGAATTTTGAATACTTGCGTTGTTGGACAGAATGAAAAGTATAATAAAATTGTATAAATAAAAAGTGTAACATTAGTAACAAAACTATATGAAAATAATAATAATAGAAAAACTATGTGAACAGAATAAGAAAGCTATATGAAGAATATAATTATAATATAACAATACGAAATAACCATTAAATATTTTTGTTATTTTATTTATAAGAAGTAGCTTCCCCGAAGGGGAATCGAACTCTGGTCTTGCGGGTGACAGGCAGAGATACTGACCACTACACTACCGAGGAGTATTTACATGCGAACTCTGTATTTTATATTCATAATTTAATTTATCACATTCTGCGAATAACGGCGAGCGTTATCCGCACAGCTCTGTGAATAATCACTTTGTTAACAAAATGGCGACCTCCACTTTTTAATTTACTGAGGGTAGCGATGTTTCAGATTTTTTTTGCATAAGTTAGTTTTGTTAATAATTTCTACTTCCACCCTAATCTTAAAGCAGACATGTTTGTTGTTTATTTGACACTTTTCTTTTAGAAAAAATTTGATGGTTTGACGTTGAAGATTAATGGTAAATAATAGCAAATTTGACTTATTCATATTTTTGTGTGGAAAATATAAGTTTAAAAAAAGAAAATACCAATGTTAGATGAAAGCATAAATGACAACATATCCAAAATTCGTGAGGTGTGCATAGGTGAGAAATTTTTGCAAAAAATTTTTGTCACATGTGTCCCAAAATTACCTATTATGGATAATTGACGTTTTTGTAGGAAGTAACTTGATTTACACTGGAAATACAGCATATTACCCACTAATAACATTTTAAAACAAAGCAACAAATTAACACACCAGTACTTTTTATCTGATGCTTTCATTTTGAGTGGGGGAGTGGGATGAATAGCCTTAGCCTTATTGTTATTACAACTAAAAGTATATATCCTATGCATAGTATAGTATAGCCTATAGTATAGGCCTAGTAACATCCCAACTTATTATTGCTGGACCTATTAATAAATTATAGGTAATGATATTTTAGGCCATGTAATCATATTTTATTATTTAATGACAATTATGATTCTTACATTTTTAAAATTAAAATGTTTAAAAAAAATATAAAGTTACCTTTGATATTGAAATATCCTGTATTCACTCAAAAATCACAATATTCCACAAGAAAATTATATAATCCTCAGTATTCTTCAAGAAATAACACACTTTCTGATACAATAATCCAAGAATTTCTTAAGATATTAATAAAGAACGATCATAAAAGCTTGTACTTAGCTCAAGCAAATTACCAGAACTTATTTTAGCTTATAGCTATCAACATCCAAAGTTGATACATGTTGATTTGTGAAGCAAGATTACTATTTTTTTGGTCATATTCAAATAGGACTAAAATACATACATAGAAAATGGTAAAATAAAAAATATAATCGTCAATTTTATATAAATGAATCAAATAATCCCTGTATTATTTGTTTATACTGATAAATATTAAACAATTCCACAGAAAATTTAAAATCAACACCTGAAGATTATTATTATTATTATTAAATTGGGGAAATTTACAAAATTTATATTTAAAAAATATTAATTAATTAATACAAATAAGTGACGAGTCAGCATATTTTATTAATTTTTTAATAAGGAAAATTATCAAGATTAAAAAAAAAAAATTTTGGAATATTAACAAAAACTAAAATTGTATTTTGTGACTTTATTTAGAAGAACTCAGATTTAACTGTGTTCCCTGAAAATATTATATTTTTGTCTCATTTTATAACAAAGTTATAGCCATACAAACAGTAGCAATATGAGGTTGACGAAATGTGGAGAAGGATTTACATAATGTGCTGGCTATAAGGGTCTAGTGAAAAAGTGCTTTTGAGCTCCTTACTAAAAAATTCATAACTTTTGAACCGTTTGAGCTAGAAAGTTGATCTTGGTGTTTTTGTAAACTTTGTGCTCTATACAGCTGTAGTATTTTTATATTTTTAAAAATGTTTTGAAATTTTCATCAAAATGTCTACAAAGAGATAGCCCCATGATGTATCACATGGCCGTCATTTTGGTTGCAACGACCCATGAACTTTTACGGGCTCACTGATCATGGCAACCAAGATGGCCGATGTGTAAAAATAAAATAACTCTCGTCTGCTAAAATTAGGAATAAAACGTTAAAATAAATGGAAAGATTTTAGGCGGTACATAAATTTCATGGTGAACTTAGATGTTTTATTTGTATCCGTCTAGATATTTGGCAAGAAGTGACAACGACTTGCGACCTGCGGTGGCTCCCTTTCCTGGCATAATGTCAGCCGGTTCACACACACTAAGCCTAACCTAAATCTAAACCTAACCTAAACCTAAATGTATCCCTATTCCATACCCTAAAACTAGCCCTAAAGCCTTAAGTAAAAACACGTGTGCATCTCCAGTTACACACTCTGGCGGGGGGAGGGAGGGGGGAGTAATAGATACTTTCATTTTCCCAAGGCAGCACAGGATACGTCTCAGAATGAAATTGATAAATAATTAACATTCTTAGGTACATAAATATCGGGAGTAGGAAATAGGGTGTGTACATTTTTACATGGATGACGATATCTTTAAATCAAATCATAATACCGTTGTAAAAAAAAATAGATGCTATATTCTCACTTTACCAATTAAGAAAATCAATGACGTTAACAAAAGTACATTTACATAATTATACCCATAAATATCAAAACCTAATCATTTTATAGAAATGAAAATTTAATTTTAATATAGATGGGTTAAGATTTTCTTAGATAAATTGATAATAAATATAGAGAGACAGACAGACTGATGGATTAGATAGATAGATGGATGGATGGAGGGAGGGATGGGTGGGTGGGTGGGACAGATAGGACGGATAGATGGATAGATGAGGGAGGGTTGGGTGGATGGGACAGATAGGACGGATAGATGGACGGACAGACAGACAGAACTCTTCCTTAAATATTTGCGCTAAAGGGTTACTTTTATTCGATAAACTATATATAAAATTAATGTCTATATGTATGCGCCCCTATACCATTCATCTGATAGTGGTAAAACTTTTGTGAGTTGTTTTACACACGCCCGCAAATGTTTCTGAATTATTAAACACATTTTACAATATTCCGTTTTGGCCCTTTCATGGGCTAAATATAATTTCCATATGTGTTCCTATAAAATTCATCCGATTGCGATAAAACTTTGGTAAGTTGTTGTGCGCACGCCTCCCAAAGATTTTTGAATTGGGTTATCCATTTTGAAATATTCCGAAATTATTTTTTTCTTATATGAACTATATAAATATAATTTCAAGCAGAGTTATTGCATGGATGAATGGAATTTAATCTAATACAAATAGCAACATTTCATATTGTGTATGACATAATGAGTAGGTTTCTGAATTAGTATAAAAATTTTGCTTTTGGGTCCGGGGGCCTTAATTATATATATTTTTATTATTATGTGAGATATATATAAATATAATTTCAAACAGAACTACTGCATGGGATGATCAATCGCTACAAGTGTGTGGACTAAATTTTGAAAATCCATGCTTCTCACGTGGACAGCTGTATGTTGCCTGCTCACGTGTTGAAAAGCCTTTAATTTATTTGTGTGTGCACCAGACTGAAAAAAAAAATATTTCTTTTTAAAAATTACTTTAAAAAACGTAATTAAAACACAAACAATTGAGTGGCATGGTGACGCATGCCAGGTTCTCGCTAGTTGTAAAATAAATAAATAATGAAAACCCAACTCACAGTTTCACTAAACAGAATATCCAGAAAATGAATAAAATACAATGCCGTCGATGCCAAATCCATTTTAAAATTATAATTAAGCAACCAATAAGAATTTAATTCAAAACATGTCATTGTCATATGAAGAAAAATTTAACTAGTAACAAAAATGAATCCAAAACAGTAACGTAACAACATCTCTTTGCATACTAGGTATTTTTTACTATGGCCATGATGGTCTACACCACCTCATTTAAAATATACAATATTTTATAAAACTTTTATTTTCAGAATGAATGCTATATTAAAAGTAATTTTAATAATGTTATGCACCTATAAATAATTTGTAACTCATCTATCAACTTTGGCACGCGACTAATTAATTAAAGCTTTCCGTGACCAATAGTTTAATAGTTTTTGCTCACTTCAAACTCTTATGAATGAATTTCTGAGATAGTATTATGATATAGCCATTATGCAAGTGGCTGTGAATGGTTGCCCAATACAACATTTTGCACACGCAAATTATGATAATTTATTATATGGACTCTACGGGTTTTTAAACCTCAAATTAAAATAACTTGTTTAAATTACTTATATGTTTATTTTAAAACACAAGTTATCAAATAATTTGATGTAAATAGTAGTCATAATGAATATTTCCTAAGTATCAGCATCGTTAGCCATTAGAAAGGGGGCGTGGACCTTGTGATAATGCAGGTTACTGGGACGAGCATAACGAGCGCAGGACACGACTGACATCAGTGAGAATTGCCACACCTTTACATCTATATATAATGCTTTACAATATTTAATATGAAAGACATATTCTTTAAATTTATTCAAAAATTTTTGAGGGAAAGATGCCTAAAATATACCTAAAATTAAGGTCGATCAGAAAAGGCAAAAAAGTACATTGGACTGTAGGATTAGATGTCCCCTATTATGAACATGTAGAAGAATACCACAATTTTAGGACAAAATATTCCTTTCATTAATGAAAATGCACCAACATCCAAAAAGTCGGATTCTCCTGCTCCAACTCCCATTTCCCATACAAAATTTTAAGTAGTCTCCCTTGCTTTACAGAAGTGCCTATCTAAATCAATGCAAAATTTACTTTTTAATATGGTTACTGCCCTTCCTTAACCTTCTTGAAGTATGTACATACTTTTGAAGTGACTGGGTAGAGCAAGTTTAGCCCTGTGTGAATTAGGTTTCCCGGTGTGAAATTTTTTTATTTTTACATTTCCTTGTCCCATTGAAACCCTTTCACTTGTCATCAGATGACATTTTATTCTACAATATCTTCAAAAAAGATCTATAATTGCAGTGCCCACTATGTAAAAGCCAGCACATTATGTATATCCTTCACCTAAGAGCATTGGGGAAGGGAGTGCCAGCTCGTCTTGCAGTATATCTAGGAGATACTATAAAGTTGCTTTGTTCATCCCAAAGTACGCTTAGGCTCAGGTCAATTTGAGGAATGAAACATTAAGCCCCACCTATTGTGTATTATGATTAGGGTACTTCTAGAACTACACATCACCTGTCTTAATATTATTGCTTTCTTAATTAGTTCAATGTATCCTTCATTTTTTAAGAAAGTTAGGATTTCTGACTTTAATTTTAACATTTCATGTCAGTTGAATTCCATTTTATTTCTAATTGTAGGGACCACCCAGATGTCATTAAGAGACGATTCATCAGTGTATCAATTGTGTGTGTCACAGCCCCTTTTATTCTTTGGGCTGTTGCAAAAAGTTCAGACAAAGCTGAGGTTAGTTCACTTTGAGCTGGCTAAGTAATGTTTTTGTTATGTTGTTTTTTAATTTCCATAATAGAGCCATACTATTTGCTGAAATCATAATTTGTTATATTTTAAAAATGTATTTTTCTCTTAATAAACTTATTCAGGCAAATGATCTCCTGACATGGCTTGGTATTCGTTTTTGGGGATTTCTACCATCTTTGGTTGTGCCCCTTTTTCTAACCATGGTATGTTTGATCTGATTTTCCAATCATTCAAAATTTGTTATGAGGTTGACTAATTTCTCAATTCTGTTTAAATTTTTTTTTTTCAATTCACATAATCGTTTAAGTTTTTTGTTCCATTTTTGAAATATAATGGAATGATATAAATTTTATTTTAAGATCATAGCTTCATATAATCATATATTAAGAATAAGCAAGAGGGGGGGGGGGGTTTAAATATCTCGTAATGTTTTTCAACAGAGGCATTCAGAGAGCAATATGATTTATATGAGTGTGTTTAAACTTAACACTGTCAAGATGTTAAAATCCCTGAAAATCCTTTGTGTGGGGATATTCCTTTTTTTAGAAATGAGAACAGAGTTAGTGTGCCTAATTGCAGATTGGATTATGAGCTTAGGGATACAATAAACGAAGGGGTATACTGAAGGGCTAGTAGTGTTCAGGTGGTCAGTACTGCAGGGGAGAGCAAGTGAGTAGGAATACTGAATAGAGTAGTGTTTCCTGTGGTTAGCAGAAGTAGTTCCTTGGCTAAGTTTGTTAACAGAACTTAATTGCTTAGGGGAACCTGTGTTAGTTAGAGTAGAATTAGAATGCAATATTGTATTCATTAAGAAGGACTTCGCATCAAGTGTTTGTGTATACTAGTGTAAGAGTTTCGCATGTCATACACTAGATGTAAACTCAATGACAACCTACACAATTCTTTACATTTGGGGGCTTATCATCAAAGGATCAGAAACTCATGCAAGTAGTACTAATCATATCTCTACACCTAATCCCTATCACACAAAGGACTACACATAAATTGGTGTGTGCCTTGCAAAAAAAGTTTTTAATTCTTCCTGAATCAGTGCTTGTGAAGAAAGTTCATAAAAATGTGGTTTCTCTAAAGCATTTGGATTGTCATCATATAATCAAAGTCTTTGTTAATCTACTGCTACTGAAGCTTTCATTAGTGAAAGCCAGTCATCAGGATTTTAAGACTAGAACAGTAGGGACAGGGGCTGCCCATTGGAGCTCTCTTCTTTTAATTCGAGGATCACTTACAGTGTGTAATCAAAGGTGCCACGGCGGGGGTAGGTGGCAATAGTCATAGTTATCCTTCAAGCACTCCGCTTTTGTCCTCATTACAATTTTTTTTTAGACCAGTTTTTATTTTTCGGGGGTGAGGGTTGTTGTCTGTCTGGGGAAAGTTTTCTTGCAGTCCCATAACTAGCCAAACTTCATTTTTTTTATACTTTAGAGACAGCTGTTAAGTTTATTTAGTACGAAATGTGTTTCAACTTGATGATTGATGAATTTTTTTATGTATTTTTAGTACAGTAATTTCAATGTAAATTTAACATTGGAAAGATTGACTTAATCTTTCAAAGAGGACAGAGGTTCTGACAGGGGCTTTTTGTTATAAGCCGAAGTAACGATAACCATAATAAAGAGGAGTGATCCAAATCTAACTGGAAAAGTTATAAAATTTAATAGATTAGACTTGAATGATGGATACAGTTAAATAGTATCATCCTTGAGGTTTGAATGACAGTTATAGTTAAATAATATAATCTAGGAGATGTAATTCCCCAAACTATAATACATATAAGTCAAAATAAACAAAGTTTCTTAGATTTTTAAAATGTGGACCCCAGTGTATCTTATTGACAGAACAAAAGATGAGGGACTGTTACGCACTGACTTATATTGGGAGAAGTTAATCTCCTATTTTAATTTTAATTGGCTCGTTGTAAACAGTGCCTAACAAAGGACGATACCATTGAATCAACAATATTAAAGATACGACCCAAAACAGTTTCTAGTTACAGTTAATTAAGATTTATTATGTCTTAAGATAATTACAAAAGAAAAGAAAAATATAATTACAATCTTCAACTTATAGTATGGTAGATCTTGTACCGGTACACAGTTAACACAGTTAGAATAACGTGCCAATAAATAATGCGAAATAAACACATATAAGCTCACAAATACACAAAGAATAAAACACGCCTCGTAATGTTAAGAAAATTTATCTGAAATCTCCGTCCCTCGTCTGTGCCTGTCAATCCCTTATATAGGTGGGTCTACCGACGCCTAAGCCCTGCCTTCGACAAGCTACATGGCATTTCTAGAACCATCAGATTCATTCTACAAAACACTACTTGGAACAGATTAATTATTTTTAGTAGTTGGCGGTGTAAACAAGAAATACATCAAAAGCCTAAGCCACACCCCTTTGTGAACACAGCGTCTCATGCGGGGTCAATCAGAGGGCACGCACGAGAAATATTATGTAAACAAGCTCTCTATAACAAAGTTGGCGGTGTAAACAAGAAATACATCAAAAGCCTAAGCCACACCCCTTTGTGAACACAGCGTCTCATGCGGGGTCAATCAGAGGGCACGCACGAGAAATATTATGTAAACAAGCTCTCTATAACAGGGACCAAGTGAAGATAATTCTAAGTGAGGGCAGTTCTAAGTGATGATAATTCTGCTATTATTATTTTAAAAGACTTTCATAAAGTGACAGTGATAAGAGGAAATGAGGTCTTAGATATCATATATTTGATTTTATCTTATGTTAAAGAAAGAGTGGAGCACTTTAAACAAACAATGATTTGATAGGCAAGATAATATAAGAAAAACTAAATGATTTGGCTCATAAAAATAAAAAACTAACAGAACTAACTAAACACAGAACTCACTGCTGTAAATAATGAATTAGATATACAAAGACAGCTCAACCAATAAACACTTGTTTATGAAAATTATATATAGTACATAAGAAATTCAAACACTACACATAAAGAGAAGAATAAGAAAATTGACAAACTGATCACTGAACTTTCTAAATCACAAGTCATACCCTAGACCAGTGTTTTGCAACCTTTTTTGTGGCTTGCCCCACCTAAGCCTTTCTAAAAGTCTTATGCCCCCCATGTATCATATACATAATTTTTAATATTCTAAAATAGGGTTGTTCACTGAAGAAACTTAAATGATTGTTACAACACTTTTAAGGAACGCTTATTTTAAATTGAGACGTTAAAAATTCTCCTTTTAAAATACAAGTTAAATCATAGTAGACGGTTGGTTTTCAAAAACTAGAAGCTCATTTTTCAAATTGCCCCCCTGTGACAACACAAAGACACCCACTTTTTAAAAAAAAAAAAGCAACACTCGGAAAGATTTCCACATGTAATTTGGTAATGACATCTTAACTTTCTTTTTCTGTTTTAGAGGCAAAATACTGGACCAATTCTGTGAAAAACTATGTATGGCTTCGTAATCATATTGTTGTAAGTACAGCCCTAGAAAATAAGATATTTATACATGTTATTGTTAAAAATCTTTTGTGCATTCAGTCCAAACTATGAAATTAACTTACAAAAAATGTAATCTGAAACTTTTACTTTTTATTTTAAAGGTTTAACAAAGTTTTCTGTTGCTTTTAAATCAACATGTCTTTGACTTTGTAGTCTCCACTTCATGTTGCACTGTTGGCTCTGATCTGAAAAGGTAATTTGACATCATCTAACCATCTTTATATTTCAGGCGCCACTGTCAGAGGAGTTCATCTTTCGAGCCTGCATGTTGCCCTTGTTAGTGCCTTGTTTAGGAACTGGATGGGCCATCATTTTGTGTCCAATGTTTTTTGGTGTTGGTGAGTAAATCTGCTTCTTGTGAAATGGTCAAGCGAGATTTAAGTGAAATGGTCTTGTGTGATTCTAGCATTTCTGAAGCAGTTGTTTTTTAAATTAAAATAAAAATGTATTTTCAAGAATATCTTCTTATTTTGTACATTATTTTATATTGTTATTTCTTTCCTTTATAGCCCATTTTCATCATATGATTGAAAAAGTTGCTCATGGTCAACAAGAAGTGGCAGCAGCATTTAAAGAATCTTGTAAGTTTTTTGAAGACCTATTTTCTATTCTGGAGTAAAAAGTTAAGTGTCACTACTAAAGATTTTAACAACTAGGTGATACCTAAAATACTCTATAAGACCCATTTATTTTTTCTCTGATTTCTTAATCCTCAGTATTCCAGCTTTCTTACACCACTGTATTTGGTGCTTATTCAGCTTTTCTGTTTCTGAGGACAGGTTTGTATACTTAATAATAGATTATATAATTGTATGTGTTATTGTTAACGATGTTTCAAAATTTATGAATATGTTTTTAAAAAGTACTGTGCATGCTAATTGAGAATGCATGATTATAAAACAATAATTTCATATGGATATTGTATGCTAGCCTATTTCTTAATCTTCAGTTTGCTGTGAGTAATTGTGATGGTAAGAAAATAAAAAGGTAAAATTAAGCTTTTCTGAAATTTGACTAATTGTGGATATTGTTTTCCAGGTCATCTGGCAGCGCCTGTGATCGCCCATGCCTTCTGTAACCACATGGGATTTCCTTCATTTGGTGAAATCATGGGCTACCAACCTTCTACACGGTACAGGCTGATGGCCCTTTTTGCCATTGGTTTGGTTTTATGGTCTCTGTTTTTGTTTCCATTAACGTCTCCGTCACTTTATGCAAATGATGTGTATGTTATATAATTTGTATTGTCTAAGCTGATAGGTGGCATTGTTTATCAAATTTTGTTGGTCTTTAAAAAAATTAATTGTGCATTAATAAGAGCTGAATTTTAATAAATTCTAGTAGCATCAAAATTCTTCCCAAGAATTAACTAGCCAGCATTGACTCTGTTGATTTCAACTTTTTTCAATGAATACAATATTCACTCATGATGAAATTTGAATATTTATCACCCTGTGTTCGGATAAACAAGAGAATGCGGCCAGAATTTAAAAAAATAAAATGTGGGCTGCAAATCGTAAAATATTTTGATGCAGTAGTGTGAGTCAGTTTTTCTTGATTTGGCCAATGTTTAGGGCATAGGATTTTGAATTATTCAAATATTGAATGGTGTGAAATTTTTAATTTGGTAAATGAGTTTAAGACACAGGGCTTTTAATTTAAATTCCTGCTTACAGCAAAAACACATTTTGCACTGGCAATGATAAATAGAGCTGATGCAACATGTGGTAGGTATTACCTGTCTTGAAAGTCTTGACAAAAATTGGTTGTAGTTCTCTTGATGAGATGGAAGTGTACATACATATACGGGTAACAAAAGTTCAGATGATTCCTCTTCATTTCCCCCTCTTCTGGTTTAAAGAGATTCTTAGATTTTACAATAACACTTAAAATAAAAGCTGTGATTTTTTTTTTTATGCACTGTTATCAATTTATTTCAACTACCAAAACTGCTTAAAAAATTGTATATGAATTTTAAAATTTTGTTAAATTAAAAATGATTTATTAGTTTAAAGATCAAATGTAAGACCTGGAGAGCAGTTTTATACCCCATTTCTATTATTTTTGAAGTGCATTTCTGTTACCTTGAACTATCTCCTAGTTTCATAACTTATCAGTGTTTGACTTTGTGGCTTGCCCCACCTAAGCCTTTCTAAAATTCATATGCCCCCCATGTATCATATACATAATTTTTAATATTCTAAAATAGGGTTGTTCACTGAACAAACTTAAATGATTGTTACAACAATTTTAAGGAACGCTTATTTTAAATTGAGACTTTAACAATTCTCCTTTTAAAATACAAGTTAAATCATAGTAGACGGTTGGTTTTCAAAACCGAGACAGCTCATTTTTCGAATTGCCCCCCTAAACAATCAAATTGCTAATAAGCTGAAAGACAGAGTATTAATTAAATCCTTTGTGTTACATCAGCTGACGCCTATTAATTTGCCATTGATAATTTTTATGTAAATATGATTTGTACTTTCAACTTGTGTATTTGAATTTATTGTAGTTTAATAGTTCAAATTTAATTACAGTTGTAGACCAGCTATTTGGGTTACAAGGAGTAAGTAAATATTTTTAAAACAAAGTAAATAAACTACAGTTAGCGCCCCTTGATCTACGATATATTAATGAATTCAGATAAGTGATTAGGAATGCAAAATATGAAGGGGAAAAGTCTGTTAGTGAGCATCCATTTAATTTATATCTACATGTTTATTTTGTTTCTTTAATTAGACTCAGTCACACAATAAATTGTTTACAAATAAAAGTTCGACATGTGCTACTTTCTTTTAATCTAGAACAAAACTTCCTTTGTACTGGTAAGGGGAAAGCATTGATGCTGTGCACAGTGTGATCATAAATTACAAAGCATTGATGCTGTGTTTAGTGTGATCATAAGGAAAAGCATTGATGCTGTATTTAGTGTGATCATAAGGAGAAAACATTGATGCTGTGCACAGTGTGATTTATCTTTTATTGATCCAAATAAATGAAAATGTCATTTTCTTACATTGTACATATTCATTTTCAGCACATAAATAAATACATGTTTAAATCAAGACAATATGTTACAATTAAAACAGTTTAAACACAAGAGATCTAATCATCTAAAGTATTTCTCTAATAAAAATTGAGCCATGAATGAACTCCTTTAGTGACAATAATGGCTTAATTAGTTATCATTTTGATTTGGTAATCGCTTTAAAGATGCAAATTTAGAGTATAATGAAAAAATGTTATCATGCTCTTTTTCCATTGTCAGTTAACTATAGATCTACAGCTTAAATTCATTTCTTTTTGCCATTGTTAGTTAACTATGCAGCTTAAATTCATTTTTTTAACAGCCATAAGATTTGGCATATATTCAATAGACTGCCCTTTAGTTTTGATAATGTGACTCTTTAATGCCGCTGAGAATCACCAGCCATTTGTTTTAGTTTATTTTTCACCAACTCTTTTTTTTTTCTAGAAAGGTAGTTTGTAAAATCAAAAATTCTGCACTGATGTTGCTTAAAAGGTTATTGATTGGCAGATATGCTATGAACAGTACAGCTCAGTTATCCTTAAATTAAAATGTTTTTAGGCCTTACAGTGTGATAAATCAGAGGTTTTCAGCCAATTTCTCTACTTTAAATAATGAAGATGATTATTCTGATATTAGTTACAGGTATTAACAAAGTTGATAGTTTTAGACACTTCATTTTATTTTGGAAAAGAAATGCCTGTAGATCTTTTAGCAGAGGTTAAAAGGGTTGTTACATTTTATCTGTGCATACTGTTATGGTTAAATATGGCATCAGGAGAGGTTTGTTGATGCTGTGCTAGTCTCCTTACATTTAAATTTGGCTCTGGCCATTCTTTGGGTGTTCATTTATTCTGCCCGTTTTCTGTTTAAAAAAAAAAAAAATTATTTAACATTTGAATTAATGGAATTCAATATACATACCAGTGCAATTATTTATTTTTTTTAACTGATTTTTGTAATAGCAAAAAACTTATTGTAGCCATCATTGTTAATTTTAGAAGAAGAAACATACAGTTTGTATCAAAATGATCACTTGAATATCATTGAAATGGAGAATTTTTTCACCATTAATTTACAGTAATTTAAGAAAAATGAGCAAGACTGAAATTTTGGAATTTTTCAAATAATTATGAGTTGAATAAGAATGAGAAAAAAAAAGGATTGGTTTAGGTTAAAATTGTGTGTACTTTTATTGTTTTTTTTTGTTTGGATATGTCAATGGATGAAAATCCAGTGGCATGTTCAGATTTCTTAAAATCTTTATCAATAAATCAAGCCCAGTTTCTTTTAGACCATTTACCTGAAACTGTTAATACTCAAAAAAAAAGTGAAATTGTTAACTTTATAAAAACTCTTACATTTTATTATTTGATTATTTGTTAAATTCTGGTGCTACCGGCTGCAGTTGTTTGTTCTGTCACCATTCATACAATTTTGTCATAAGTTTTTGTTTTATTATTACCAACATTTCTTGTCATGATTGTTGATAAAGTGACCATTCTATTTGTTTGGTAATGTTATTTATTATAAATGATGACTTCAGTATTACAGATGGTCACTGTACATATTCTGTTGTCATTTTTGTTTTATTCACCTTCTCTGACTTAATGTTTGTTGTGTGTCACAAGTGTAGCAATGCATAATTTAGACATAATCAGACCTGTTGACCCTCAAACTCTTGAAATCGTACAATATCATCACCTTATCGTTCAATCTTCTTCTTCTTCATGTCCCTAAGTCCTTGGACTGTTGGGGCGCCATAGATGACATGTGAACCATCCTCCTCCATTCCTCTCTGTCTTCAGCGCTACGCACTGCATCGCCCAGTGTTAGTCCTGTCTACTCTTTGATGTTATCCTCCCATCTTTTTCTTTGTCTTCCTCTTCTTCTCCCTCCTCTTGTGGTACCCTGCAATATTTCTTCGGCAAGTCCTTGTTTCCTTGTTACGTGGCTGTACCATTGTAGTTTGCGTTTTTTCACAGTCACCAGTAGGTCATCGTACCTCCCAATTGCCTGACGAACCCTTTCTTTCACTGTATCATTGGAGATATGGTCCCTACAGCAGATGCCAAAAATGCTTCTGAAGCATCTCATCTCCATCGCCTTTATTTTCCTTTCAAGATCGGCTGTTAATGTCCAGGATTCGCAGGCATACAGGAAAATGGAGAGGACTAATGAGCACATCAGCCTGATTTTGGTGCTGGGGGCTATATTTTTGTCATTCCATATTTTCTTGAGCTTCTTTAGTGCTGTTGTAGTCTGCTCAGTCCTTGACATCAGTTGGGGCTTGGAGCCTTCTTCTCAGAATATTGCATCTAGGTATTTGAAGCGGCCGACAGTCTCTAATCTTTCCTCCCCGACCTTAATTTCAGTGGTATTATTTGTCATCAGTTTTGTCTTTTCGGCACTGATTAGCATGCCGTAAGACGACGAGGTCTTATCGAGACGCTTTACCAGGTTGGCTAGCTCTTCTTCGTTCCCAGCCAGCACGTCTATGTCGTCCGCAAAGCATAGGTTGGTGATTGTTCTGCCACCAATGCTGACTGTCCCTTCATGTGCTTCCAGAGCATCTGACATAATTCTCTCTAGGAAGATGTTGAATAGGGTGGGGGAGAGCAGGCAGCCTTGTCGTACTCCAAGCGTTCAATACGTTATCTTAATAGGAAAAAAAATAAACATACAGTATATATAATGTATGCAACCTCAAAATCATACATTGTACGCCAAAATCGTAAGAGTAAACACGTCTGCATTATTTATAACAATGAAGGGAACAGATATACAATTTAGCATTTAATTAGCAAATTGGTCATATAACAAGGGTCGGCAAACTGCAGGACGGATCGGGCCCACAGCTTCATTTTATCCAGCCCACCAGAAGCTTTTTAAGTTAAGAAATAATATCCTTATTTAATAAAAAATTCAGTATTAATTTTTATATAATTTTATACATTTCAATACCCGTGTTAAAACATTAATTACGTATTTTTCCACCCAATAGAACCAAAAAGATTCTGCTTCTCGTTTTAATTTTTAACAATTCTGCAATAGATAACTGAATTGATAATTTTCGTCCTGACTAAATTTTGTTTTTGCTTTTATTCCAAAGTTATTTTGAAGTGACAGAAGAATCAGCATCTTTTAAGGCGTGCATGTAAGAACAACAGGGCAGGACATTTTAAAGGAGGTGGAACAAAACATTGCTCAGTGCAATTTGGATGCGACTTCATTGAAGTGTGCTGCGACAGATGGTAAAAATAGGTGCAGTTTTGAATTTCTAATAGTAATAGGAATAAATGCTTAATATCCCAACTTACTTAACCAAACTGCAATCATGTTCACGTGGCTCTGTTTGGTAAGGTTATGTCGTTATATTTTTTACTGTGAATTTAGATTGTGTCCTCATTTTTTACTAAGACTACTAAGAGCCAGTGCTTTTGGGAATTATCTTTTTTCTTCCGATTTGGCAAAAATGAATCTCAGATTGACAGGAGTGCCAAACTTGTCTTCAACATGTACACTGCTGTGAAGGCATTTTGAAAAAAAAAAAGCCAATTCCCAGTTGACGAGGGTTTCCTTCACTCAATCTCCATGCACTTGAAGGGAAATATTTGCACAAGAAGCAACAGGCCGATTTCCATGAGAGTTTGTGCAAGTGGTTCTACTTGACTCTAGTCAGTTGTTTCATGACCATTTTTCATATTTGCCAGTGCAAATAAATAAGAATCATCCAAAAACCGCTTGTGTTTTTGCGCTCCATATGAAATTCAAATGGAAGTGATAGATACGCATTCCAAGAGAATTGAAAGAAGATAGAACTCTATGCCATAGGCAGGGCTTAATGCCAAATCTGATTGAACTCTAATGCCATAGGCAGGGCTTAATGCCGAATCTGATAGAACTCCATGCCATAGGCAGGGCTTAATGGCAAATCTGATAGAACTCTTTGCAATAGCTAGGATTAGTGCCAAAACTGATAGAATTCTATGCCATAGCTAGGGTTAATGCCAAAACTGATAGAATTCTATGCCATAGCTAGGGTTAGTGCCAAAACTGATAGAACACCATGCCATAGCTAGTGTTAGTGCCAAAACTGATAGAATGCTATGCCATAGCTAGGGTAAATGCCAAAACTGATAGAACTCCATGCCATAGCTAGGGTTAATGCCAAAACTGATAGAACTCCATGCCATAGCTAGGGTTAATGCCAAAACTGATAGAACTCTATACTCTATGCCATAGCTAGGGCTTGTGCCAAAACGGATAGAATTCTATGCCATAGCTAGGGTTAATGCCAAAACTGATTGAATTCTATGCCATTATTAGGGTTAGTGCCAACCAGGGCAGACCTAGATTTTTGTCCCCCTAAGTAAAAAGTGTGATCCTTTTCTCATGCTTCTCTATGAGTGGCTCCCAGGTGATCAATTTTCTTATTTAAAAGCCTTTGCTTGTGAAATTGATTTGTCTTTGTTATTACCTACTTCTCTGATGAGCTTTTTTTATAATAGAAGTAATAAGTTTGAGGCCAAACTAAATGTCTTGTTTGAAAAGAACCAGCTTCATGCTTTTTACTCATGTGAAAGAGATTTAAAAACAATCTAAATTCTTTTTTATTTAATAAGTTTTGAGTCTCAATCATAATGTCGAAAAAAAAACACCAATTTCTTGCTTACTATTGCATTTCTAGCCTAGTCTTACAAAATTTAAATACCAGTACGCAATTTTATAAATTAAAAATTTAAGAGATACTCCGATCATACCTGTAAGCCAATTCTTGAATCGGGCGAAATGCATCCGGCCCCTTGAACCCTCTACTCTAGGAGATTTTTTTACCGGCTTACGTCAAACAAAATTTGAAGACGTCTGCCATATAACATGAAATTAGATTTTAGAAGTATATTCTCATGATTGCCTACTTTTAATTGGTAATTTTGTATCATTTTTGATTTTGTAAATAATTCTAGTTTGAAGCTTTGGGGTGACCAGATAAAGGCTGCTGTGACTACTGTAAGTATTCATGAAAATGGGGGGGGGTAAGTTTTTATTATTTTTAGGATAAATCGTATGAAAATGAAATAAAAATGCAGTTTTTCTCAGTTATCATTGTACTTGAAATACTTTGCGCAATCTTTTAAGGCAGTTAACCAATATAAGTGCTGGCTACCTCATTGTCAAGTTCTACTGTTCTAGTGACCATTATAGTATAGTGGGAAAAACGTAGCTTTTTTATTTTTTTAATAATTATAACATCTCTTGATTCAATTAAGAATTAATGGAATCGTGTCAATATGCTTAACTTATCTACGCATCTATAAAGAAAGAGCTTGTAACTAGGAACGCTACAAACCCACCATTTTATTTTCCATTTTGTCTAATTAGGGCAATAAATGTTAAGTTCATTTTTATTTTAGTTGTTTTACCTACGGGAAACGTAAATTACAAGACCACATTTAAACATTATGAACAAAATTAAAATGGGGTGAAAGAAAAAAGCTAAATTCTCTTTTTGCAATAAACCTTGCTAATGGAGAGTTGAATCATTTCAATTTACCGCTTCTAATTCAGCCCAGCACCATGCATTTTTTCTGTTGGCTGGTAGTGGTAGAAGCCGTATGAATCCATTTATGTGCTCATGTTGACATTTGTATAAAGTATAAATAATTTGTATAAATATTTTGTTTTAGGTATAAGCAAAGCTTTATATTCTACTTGAGCTACTGCCACTCTAAATAATATATTTCAATGTAATGCAAAATAAGGTTACAATTTTTAACATAATTTGTGACCAACAATGTTCATTTGAAAGTATTTGCTTGCTTTCATAAGTCCTGATGTAGTTGTAGCAGAGATTTCCATCAAAAAGCTTAGAATTAGAGCTTATAATATTTTCTGAAATAAATCAATTTATTCTTTCTAATGATTTTTTTAAAATGTCAAATTACACAAGTGTATCTATCATTAGCATTTTAGCATTGAAATATTTTCTGTTACTTCACATGCATTTTATTCTTAAGCCAACTCTTGGCTTCCACTCAGAACCCTTTTAACATAAATAAAATACCAGATGTTGTTTTAATTTCATCAAAATTATCCTTTTAAGGTCATCAGTTTTAATTTTCTTTTTTGTCTCTCTACATTTATTTTTTCCTTTCTCTAGTCTTTTATTTAATTTTTAAAAGTTTCATTTATTTTTATATTAAGTGGAAAAATAAAAATTAAATCATTGAACCAATAACCAATGTTTTATTTTTGTAACTATTTTGTTTTCAGTGATGTAAATTATATTATTTGTTAAAATCTATTTAGTTTCAGTAGAGAAATGGCACATTAAAAAAACCTTCCAGCTAGCTAATAATCAAAATTATATAAATAAACACATTTCTTATTTATTAATTCATATTAGTTTTATTTAAAAAGTAATTTCTTTCATCCCTTGCAGTATGTATCCTTTCAACATATTCACAATCTTCTAAATTGCACATATCCATGTCCCTCATGTAAGGAGGTGGTGACTGTCCATTCTTAACGTTCCTCCTCTAACAACTCTGTCTGCAGTTGAAGGTAATCGTCATCTGGTTCACTTCCTGAATCACAAATAAGTTGAAGTTTTTCCAGCAACAGCGCAGCCACATCATTTAGGTCAGGCTGAAAATAGAAATTGTGTAATATCATTAAAATTAAAGTAATAATTAAACTATAAAAGAAATTGTGGGAGATCATTTAAAATGATAAGTACTACTGCATAAAAATCTCAGGAAAAGCAAAACTTTAAAAAATTTCATAATCTATTTGAGCTGTACGGTTTCATCAGATTGTTCTAGTTGTGAAGAATTTACCTGTAAAATATGGAGACCTTTCAGGGTTAGCACAATAAGGTCAAGCATACCATCTCCCATGACATCTTCACAGTCCAAACCCATGACAGGATCAGAGAACCGTTTAGTCCATGTAAGCCTGCAGTCATTAGTTTTGGTTTAAGGATGTGCTTACATGTGCACGGGGATAACTTACAATGCTCTACATTTATTGAAATCAAAATTTATGAATATGACTTATCAACTGCATGCCAGTAAATGTTCAGAAAGGACATAAATAAAGAGTTCCATAGTTTAGGAGTATCCTGAATGCAGTGGTGGGCAAATCCCGGCTCTTTAAACAACATGAGTGCGGCTTGGCCACTAGACCACAAATCGGTTTTCACTCCGAAAAACATTGTTCTTGACTGGTTCTTGAAAAGAAATTTGGCTCTCAACAAAATTTTGACTAATGAGTTTGCCTACCACTGACCTAATGAATGAAGGCGAGGCAACAGGTTTGTCATGTACCCTTATCAGGAGATGGTTGTGATGCTGCTTTTTTATTTTCAAAAGGAATAGAATCTTCCTGATTTTATTGATATTATTTTATGAATGGAATACAGTGGAACCTCTCATAACGAGTTTAATTTGTTCCAGACTCTTACTCGTTAAGCGAAACACTCGTTAAACGAAACAATTTTTCCCATACAAATCAATGTAAAATACGATAATGCGTCCATGCTGAAAAAATACTAATTTTAAAAAAAAATTTATTAACATTTATTCAAATAAAATTACTTATGAATTGTTAAGGAGTGTAACAACTTGGAATACAATTTAGATTTGAAACAAAAAACGTAAATAAAAATATGAATTTATGACAAATAATTAATCCTTTCTAGAAAACTGTCTAAAGACATTTGTTTTTGCAGACGCTTCAAAATTTGACGAAAATGTGTCACAGCATTATCATTGAATAAATTTGTAGCACGAATAGCCACCTCCTTATTAGGGTGATGCTTCTCAATGTACGATGCAATCGTTTCCCATGCTTTCAGCATTTCTCTTACTGCGATAGAAGATTGTTACTCTGCTACTTCCTCCTCCATTAATGAGCTCTCCTCCATAATTTCTTGCTATGAAGCACGATGCAACTCCATAAGCTCTTCGGTAGTCAACTCTTGACTGTGCTCTTTCACAAGCTCTTCAATACCGTTGTTGTCCACCTCGAGTCCCATGATATTGGCCAATGACACAATCTCGTTAACTGTAGAATCCAAAGGTACTGTTTCACAATCACATTCAACAACACTCTCTGGCCAAAGTTTTTTCCAAGCAGAAGTGAGGGAAAAAGGGACTTCCCCTTTCTGCGTAACTCGTTATGCGAAATGTTGCTCGTTAACACACAATCTGTGGTCGGCCGATAAAAACACTGTCCGATAGCAACTTCCAATCCAATATTTAACCGGAATTATAGCCACTTCCTTTCATTAATAATTAAATGATCTTCCGGTTCAAGCTGTTTCGTGATAAATTGAAAATAAATACTTTTTAATAGGAGTTTTATATCGCTGTTTTTTTTTTTAAAGCTAAAATGTTTGAAGCCATGACTGGGCCTTCAGTGCGAGAACTAATAGAAATTATGTTTGAAAGCTTTTTAGGTGATACTGGTGATGATTTTAACATTCCCCATGACGATATCAGTTGAGGTTATTCTTCTCGTGAATTTTTTTACTCGTCTTAGTGATACTAAAGTACGCCTACTGAGGCTACTGTTAGACTTCGAGCCCTGCCCATAGGTTGGGCAAGGTCTGACTGAATTTTAGTCACATAAGCTACAGATTATAGTTCAGAACTAATAAATTTTATAGTTAAACATCCCAAATCAGTTCCACAGTTCCTTTTTAAATGTTTAATAGTCAATAATAACTGTTTTGCTGAGATTTTGTACTTTGTTTCAGCAGTGGTCCCAGTTTCTTATATAAATGACCTAAAATTAATAAAATTGCTTTCAGAGGTTTAATTGTAATCAAAACCTCAGCAAACTATACATTTTTTGATAGATAAATGAATTGGCTCACATTTAGATTGTGTTTCAAGTGTATCTATAAAAATTAATGATGTTATGAGCACTTGAAAGCTAGACATTTTGTCGATTTTTTTTTCTTGAGAACTTCAAGGTCAAGGACACTGAGCAAAATTTTTGTACGGGGTGGGCAATATGGCCAACGTTATCCTCATCCATTTACCTTTCTAAAAATATATACTTATAGGGGTCTTGTATCAATATTTCTATGTCATTTAATGCAATTTCAAATGGCACTCAAAACGCTCTAAAATTACTAATAAAGATCAATACTCAAAAGGGTTGAGATTCAATCTCTTAGGACCCTGGACACGATTTCCACGGCGCGCCTCATCTGCTGGGCGCTTCCGTAAAGGAGATCATTTAGGCAGGTCTCCGGATTCCCACCGTCGGCCCCCGTCCCACTATTCGGACACGTGACAACCAAGTGGGCTACTGTCTCCTCTTCGAGTCCACATTGTCGGCACAAAGGTTCCCTTCTGTTGTCGAGTCTGTGGAGATAACTGCGCGTAGCGCAGTGCCCAGTTCTCATCTGTGTGATAAGGCTTTGTTCTCCACGACTAAGCTTCCACCATGGGTCGCTTTTGCTCGGCTGTTGAAATTTCTGGTAAAGCTGTCGTCCAGTAGTGGCCGTGTCCCACTTTCCGTGCCATTTTCCCTTGAAATGGTCTTTCAACCAGGCAGTGACTCCGAGCTGAGTCATGGGTTTGTCTGGTTGGGGTAGGGCTGCGCCTTCTTGGGCTAAAAAGTCAGCCCTGTCAAGAAGTGACGCCTCTGAGCGCGAAGTGATAAACTGAAAGACTACCTTAGAGCCATGTGCATGGATGGAGCCTACTGTCTCCAGAATGGCAGTGATCTTTGTCGAGCCCACCGATCTCTCCCCCATGAGTTTGAGAGCAGAACGAGAGTCGGTGAAGATCACAATGTCCGGGAAGGACTTTCGTTTAGCTAGCCGTTGGTTCAACCTCTTAAGAGCTACCAGTATCGCCTCAATTTCCGCATCGAGGCTCGTTGCATTCCTACCGCATGGGCCTGATAGCTCCTCAGGTGGAGCTATCGGCCTGATAGCTCCTCGGGTGAAGCTATCTCTGCGGGATACTGGATGAGGACACCATAGCCGCTATGCTTTTCCTCCGTGAAACATGAGCCGTCTGTAAAGACTTTAACCAGGCTGTTCAGGTAGGCTTCAATCGTGCGTCGTGTAGCCTCTGACGGGTCTAGTTGAGGACTGCCTTCGCTGGCTTTGGTGTCAATCATGTCCAGTCGAATGTCTGGTAGGGGAAGGCTTTTGTGAGGCCCTCGCGCGGGGATCACTTTCACTTTTTCCCTGTTTCTGGGTAGAATAACGTCTTTTTCAAGACTGCACCATGTCCATGAAGGATGGTCGCTTCAATCTGGACTTTTTCTCCCATTCGTTCTGCAGTTGGAAACAGGGATCTTCTCTTTCCATGCGGCGGTAACGTTCTACCGTCGTAAGGACTGCCTTCTCCCGCCTGACCTCGAGCGGTTCGACATTGGCCATGATCTCCACCGCCGCCGTGGGTGTGGTCCGTATTGCCCCGCATACAAACCTTAGAGCACGGTTTTGGATGCGGTCCAGTTCCTCTAGAGCCGTTTGGCTCGCGAAGGCTAGGACGGGCAAACTGTAGTCCATTGTACCTCTCACACTGCTAAGGTAGAGCGACCTCAACAGTCTTGCATCTGCACCCCATTTAGTACAAGCCCGCTTTTTCACCAAGCCCAGTTTTTGTGAAGCCTTGGCGCACAGTTCGTGTACATGGTGATGAAGTCGGAGTTTCTGATCCAACTTTATCCCAAGGTAGACTGGAGTCCTGTCCCATACCAAATCTTTCCCATTTATGGAGAGTTTAACATCGGCCTTAAGCACCTTCCTTCCATTGGTGAACCTAGAGTAAACCGTCTTCTCAGTGTTCACAACCATTTTCCACCGTCTCGCATAGTCTTCGATGCTATGGAGATCATTTTGCAGCCGGTTCTGCGGATGGTTGATGTCCCTACCAGAGCTCCAGATTACTAGATCATCAGCGAACATGGCATTATCGGACACTAAGCTCTCTTGCAAGTCATAGACGTACGCTAGGAAAAGAGTGCAGCTGAGGGCAGACCCCTGGGGGAGTCCGTCCTCTAGAGCAAGCCGCCTCGATAGGCTATAGCCAATCCGTGTGGCAATAAACCTGTCCTTGAGAAAGTCCGTCACCCACCCGGACATGTTTCCAGTGATTCCCAATTTCTGGAATTTGTACATGAGGCCTACGCGCCACACGCGGTCATATGCTTGCTTGAGATCAAAGAAAATTGCCAATGAATGATTTTTCTTCTGAAGCTCATTGGTCATGGACTGAACAAGACGGATCACCTGGTCCATGGGCTGCCTACCCTTACGGAAGCCACCTTGCGTCGGTGGTAGGTGCTTATTACTCTCCAAGAACCAGTAGAGTCGTCCATTTACCATTCGCTCGGCCACTTTACCCACACAAGACGTTAGCGATATTGGCCTATAGCTACTTGGTAAATGGCCTGGTTTTCCTTCCTTTGGTATGGGAACCACTATGGCCTGCTTCCACACTTTCGGTAAAATACCTGTAGTCCAAGTTCGGTTTATGAGAGCCAGCAAAAGTTCTCTCCCCAGTTTACCCAGGTGGGTTAACATTTCATTGTGAACTTTGTCTGGTCCTGGTGCTTTCGCCGCCAAGCACTTTTTGAGCGCACTTTGCAATTCTTCCATTGTGAAGGGAACTGTGAAAATCTCAGGGTGGGGTCCAGTGCGCTGGATACGAGCTCCCCTTTTCTTCAGACGGCGGATTTCCTTATGCTCTTGGGTCTCTTTTGACACTTTTGACTCATTGTTCACTGCGGCAAAGTGAACATTTAGCACATTTGCTCTTTCTTTGTCGCTCGCCACGACACCTTTGTCCGATAGTAATGGTTGCGGGTTTTTGGCCTTCCCCGCACCAGAGAGACTTCCGAGCAGATTCCACACCTTCCCACCGTCTAGAAGATTGAGTTTTTCACAGGCACTTACCCACTTCGATTTTTTCGCTTTCTGAACAGCTACCCGGACTTCAGCCGTAAGTTTATTGTAACCAGCACGAGCAGCTGGTGTTTTCTTTCTCGCGGCTTCTTTCCGAGCCTTTGCTCTTCGCTTCATGAGTTTCGCAAGCTCCTTGTTCCAAAAGGGCTTGTACGGTCGCTTCCCGGTTGTTCTCGGGATCGTCACACGGGCGACCTCTAGGAGGACGCCATTAAACTTCTCGAAAGCAACATCTAAGTCTGAGTCGGCCACGTCGACTGCAATTAGTCCGAGCTTGGTCTCGCACTGACTTTGGAAATTATGCCAGTTGGCTCTACGAAAGAGCCAGTGACGTTTATCGCACTTGGTTTTGGCCTGTCCCAAGTCAACCCTAAGAAGTATGGGCAGATGGTCACTCCCAATATCTTCAAGGACACTAAGATTCTGATGTCCCGCGAGATCAGCGGACACGAGCGTCAGATCTGGCCTGGACTCCGTTCCATGGCCGTAGTGAAGGAGAGTGGGCGCACTCTTCTCGTCTTGAAGCCTGATAAGATTTGTCTCGAGACAGACTTCTTCCACGTGTTTACCGGAGCCGTTGCGCTCCGGATAACCCCACATGGGGGATTTAGCATTAAAGTCTCCTGCAATTATAGTCCGTTTAAAGATCGTCTCCCCGTGGGTGGGGATCGTGATCACATTGCTTGGAGAATTGTAAATGTTCGTCACGGCGAATGTTTTCCCACATTTAGAGACTTTTACCAACAACGTGTCAGTATTATCGTAACGTTTGCACTCAATGATCTCCACCGTGAGATCATTCCAAACCGCTGTGGTAATGCCTTGGCAACGGTCACACTTGCAATGGTATAGCGAGTAGCCAGTAATGTGAAACGGCTTGCCGCGGAGCAACGTTTCTTGGAATAGGCCTACATCCACTTTGTGGTCGTGGAGCAGTTTGGTTACTTCGTGCGACTTTTGCCTAATACCACACACATTCAACTGGAGGACGACCAGGGAATGTTTTAGGTGTCCCGTGCCACCTTTTCGATCTCGAACAGTCGCTTGTTGGCCTCGCACGCGCCTGTCGAGCGTCACACGTGCAAGAGGGGACGCCCTCCCCAAGGGGACATCCGCGGGGAGAGGATGCAGTCCATGCACCACATCTGTAGCATTACTCGGTCCCACCCAGTCTCCCAACAGTGGGCATTGAGGGTTTTTTAAGGTTGCCACGGTCGGAGGGGAAGGATCGTGTCCAAGTCCCCCCAGTCGAACCTGCGTAAATGATTTATCGGACATGTCATGAGTAATATGGGTTTGAGCAAAATATCTTCCTCCCAGTGGAGGGGGGCTTTGCGTTACCACCCCCCCCCCCCCTAGCTCAGTGGGTCTTTTGATTTGGGACGTGTGATCTTTGGCTTCTGGGAGCACGCCCATACTAGTCTTCCACGCCGCGAAGAGGCAGATCACGTGCGACATTGCCTCGAGCATGGCAATGTGACTTTCCCTCGATCCTGAGCTGTCTCAAGGGAAAAGTCGAAGCTCTAAAATTACTAAAAAGCTCCACACCACAGAATGATACATGCCACATTTCGTGGGTTAAGGGAGCAACTTCTTCACATTTTTTTTTGCTGGTTATGCGAATTACTCGTTATGAGAGGTGCTCATTAAGAGAGGTTCCACTGTACTTAGCTATTAATTCAATGCTATACTAAGCTATCAATTCATTTTTATGCTTGATTATCAATTCAATGTTTTAAATTTAAAGATTTAAATTATTTTTTCAAAATCGGTCACTGTTTTTTACATTAAAAATTTCATGCACTCTTGACAAAACTGCAAAGATGTGGATAAATGATTGTCTATTCATAAAACTAAAAGAATTAAATGTTAGTCTATTCATAAAACTTAAAAATTCATAAGGTTAATGTTAAGGAAATAGACTTTGCTCAGATGAACCTGTAAACAAAATTTCAAATGAACAATTTTATTCACACTTTTAAACTTATTATGATTATGAGCAGTCTGAAAATCATGTCTTTACAAAAAGACCCAATTCACTAAAGTTTATCTAGCAGTTTTATAATTGGAAACTATTTCACCTGTAGCCAGGGTAATCTGTTAGGTCCACATATGAATTTGGAGGTAGGTTGAGCGCTGATGTGACATGACTGTCTGGTGTGTGAAAACATACTGATCTTGGTGATGTCATGGCAAGGTTTTCTTGAGACCTGAACCAAGTATCATTACAATAACCCAATAACATACTCATTAACATCAAATGGAAGACATATAGCTCAAATTAGGGTCAAGCAATGAACGAAAATCTGATGTGTTTTTTTTTTTGTGCTAATTTTATGTGAAGCGCTGTGAGCCTAACTCTAGGCTGGGGTACCTCACTATATAAGACCACTTTGATAATAATATCGGCTTCTGGGTCTGGATAATGATAACCCAGTGGAATTAACGGTATGAATGTCATAGGCCTTTGAACACCATAGTTGTATCTTAAATTGTTTTGGCTATGCTTATTTCAATATTTGCCTTTTTTTTTTTAATCTACTGGGATTTTGCAAAGAGAACTCACTGAATGGCTGTTTGAATAATTTATTATAAATGTCTTGTGTTCAAATTGTTTTATTTTTGTGCTGAAAATGTATATTGCAATCAAAAAACATTTCCATTTATTTGGATCAATAAAAGAATCTTATCTGATCTCATCTTATAATGTTTTGTAAACTTCAACCAAAGATTATTTTATTTATCAAGCATACACAGGATTTCAACCTATTTCAAAATTTAAAATATAATTTCACTTTCATACATTATTTAACTTTAGTGCATTCAATCTTAATGTTAAACATCAGATTAAGTAAAATCATAAAATATCCTTGATCTAATAAAGCATTCCTAAAACACATTTTTGGAAAAGGACTAAAACTCTATAAATAGAACACAACATCAGTAAAATAATTGACATGGACTTGACATACATTCTGGAAAGTGCTTCATGCATTGTCAGTCAGTCAGTGGAACCCACAAGGGACAAGAGAATGTGGGAGGCCAAAGAGCACACAGTGAAAGATGTTAATTAGTGAATCTAGAGCGATTAGAAATGGAAAAATATCTTTGATGGTATATGTCCTATTTTAGGGCACTACAGTAGGATGTTGATACCCCATGTGAATTCAGTTCAAACAATTTCAAACATACCTAACAAGTCGAGCCATTTGAGCATTTTTCAGGCTCTCATCAACATGAGATGACTCATCAGTTCTCTGCCAGTCTGGCTTGTCAAATTTACTGGAACGATCACAAATGTCAGAAACATCTGTTTTGTGCCTACGTCTTGTCTCTGATTTATCCTTCAAAAAGATTATGATATTGAACCACCAGTTAAAATAATGTGTTGTGTTTGTGTGTTTTGAATGAGTAGTTTTGTGTTTTTGCATGCTTTTTGGTGTGTTAATATTGTGCTGTGTTAATTTTTTTTTAAATTTTTGGGATAATTGGTCGAAATATTTTACGAAGCGGTTTACTTTTTTTTTTTTTTGGGATTGTCAGGCAACCTTAAAAAAAACTATAATCAAAAAGATCTCACTCAGGTACATTGATACATATCAATACTTATGTATTTCAGTCTATTTTTTAAAAACATTTTTTTAAAACTGTTTCAACATTTTTAAACATTTTGTTTGTGTCTAGAAATAAATTCAATTTTATAATGGGAAATCATGATACCCACAACCAACTCTCTGCAGAAGAAGTGTTGTTTCAGAAAGGATTAAGTTTGTATTTAGTTTGTTTTCCGGTAACTGACTGTACCGGTGTAGACTTTTAAAAAAAAATTAGAAATTAATGCTTCATTTTATTATGGAAGATTTAAAAACTATGAATATTGCTAAGTGAATAACTCTACATCATAACAATTAGCACTGAAGGTTAGTAGTAACATGGTTTTCATTTCATTTTTCCCTTTGGAATCACCTGGTCAGAGTTGTATCTTTCATCCACATAAGGGGAAGCAAATGTGTCATTGATAGGCACTGGCATGGGTGACTGGAATGGTGTTGATGTCATCAGCATAGCCTGGGGTCTTTCGTGTATAAGTTTGTAGGCAAGAAGTACCTGATAGAAGAAAAACATGTTTAATTTTTTTTTTAATTTGTAACATTTTTGTAAAAAAATGTATTTATTATTCACCTTCAATAGTTTTAAAATGTAAAGAAACATTTTCAAAACATTTAAAGTAAATTTCAAAGACATTTTTATCAAAGACTGGTCTAACAGTTATAATCATGGCTTAGTTTAGTTATTGTTTGTTTCTGTTCATGTGTTGCAACAGTTATTAGATTCTTTATATTAAAAGAGAAACTCACCTGACCATAGGTTCCAATAAGAATCTCATTCTCTCCATCAAAGTCAATGTCCACTATACGAGAACACAGAACAACATCTTGTGTATTGCTGAGTGGTAAAATGTGGCTTCTGGACAGTCCACAGTTGACAACATCACTGAAATAGATATGACATGTTGAAAGCATCACTGATAGAAAAAACTCAATTTCCTTCAAATTAATTTTTGTATGAAGCATACAAATATCTGGAGGTTAAAACTGATGCTGTGCGGTTACGTCATTGTTTCAGAATGGGTTATTAAAAATGAGTTGTTACTATTTTAAACATTATCTTTCGTTAATGAGCAAGAAAATATAAAGATAACTAAATCCAGGAAACCCTTCAAGGTAAAGCTGTGCCCAGGCAAAGCCTGAATTTAGGCACCGCTTCCAAATGATGTATATTATAAATAGAGACAGATGGAATTTCGGTTTCGGTGCCGAAAGCGGCCATTTGATCACTTTTGGCCTAGTTTCGGTTTTGGCCAAAACTGAAAAGTTAACTTTCGGCTTAATTTCGTTTTTGGCCGAAACAGAAAATTTACATTTGGGTTTAATTTTGGTTTCGGGCGAATGTGATTGATACTTTTTGCCATCTGGCCGAAAGTGACTGAGGTTTTCAGTAATCTACCAGAAGTCAGACTGTCTGTCTGTCTCTAGGCCGACAATCCGATATTCATCATTGCTCATCGACTTGTCATCGTATGTTATATGACTACTAATACTCAGCGAAACTGCCCATAGCTGCATGATGACCTACTTGTCCTGTATTTCCAAAAAAATTACACTTGAATTAGGCCTAAGCAAATTTAAACAGCTTTGTGGAAGAAAAACTAAAGGAATGGTAATATTTATGTCATTATTATTATTATTATTTTATTTTATTTTTTAAATAACATTGGAACCATAGGTTTATTCAATTCCTTCATTTGTGATATTCATTTTTTTAGATTTGCTATGGCATCAGTATGAATGGTGTGCCCAAGTCCATTAGTACTTTGCATGTTGGGAAGTGGCAGAGGTTTCTCTAAGAACCATAACACAAGTTTGGTGCAGAATGCCCTGACATTGTCATAGGCAACACTGACAAGCTACCTCTGGTTTTGTAACATCTTGTTGATTACATTCAGCCCATGTGTAATGTCAACAAGAACAGCCATGTCCATGAGCCATTTGGGATCACTCAGTACAGGAACAACCAACCCATCCTTCTCCATAAATGCTAAAACGTGTTCAAACAGAAGGCAGGAGCAGGCCATATTTATGAATTATTGATGCGAAGGATGAAGCTATTGTAGGGAGAATGAATTTTGATTTTTTTTTATTGTGGAAAAGACCTTTTTGACTAACCTTATTTTGAAAGCTAACAGGCTCGGAATTTCCCTCACTTGTAAACACTAGCGCCAATATTAATAGGGATTCGTTGATACTGTGTCAGATTGCTACGATTTACACAATTATGGTTGTGCATTACCCACTAAATGACTTTTTAAAACTTTTCTCAAAACCACATTCTTGCCATGTTTGTCTCATAAAATGCTATAAAATAAAAACTTCTAGTCCAATTTTAAAACGGTTTGTATATTAAAATCAACATACAAATATATAGAAACATAAAAATAAGAATTAGACTAGTTGGTGAAATTCGACTGAAACAGTCACGGAGGGTTCCGTTATAGAAATGAGAATGGGAAAACACGCCGGCTGCAATAACACTAAACTTTGATTTCATGCAGCGGGCCACAAAATATCGTCTTGCGGGTCGCAAATGGCACGTTGGGCCGCGAGTTTGAGACCCCTGCATTAGATGTTTATTTTTTAATATTCACAATGATCTCATTTTTATAAAAATAATGTAAATATTGATACTTTCCCCCATCATTTTCGATGCATGCAGAATGTATGCGTGAACGAATTTCAAAGTATCTAAATATTTCAGTTTTGGACAAAAGTCATTTTTAACTTTACGCCTAGTTTCGGTTTCAGCCCAAATCAGAAAATGACTTGACTTTCGGTTCGTCTCTATTATTAATAGATATTTTGAATGAAGAATGACAAGTCTGGCATCCTCTGAAGATGGCACAGGGGATGGTGACCAGTCCCCCCCCCCCACCACCACAACCAAATCACCCATTGCATGGCGCTGCCAAATAACCTGGGTTGAGATCTTGAGATAAGATAATATATAAAAATATTACTGAGATCGTTGACCTTTGACACTGAAATATTTGGTTTTGATAGTTGAAACATTTAGAAAAATTTGAAAGGTATGTGGATGAGAGGAGTTAAAGAAAAGAAGGTAGCAGAAGCAAGAGGGTTGGGACAGGCAGTTAAAACTATTGTTTAGCTAGATATTTTACTTGATTATGTAACTGCATAATCATCAATTGTTCAACGGATAGAGTGTATATTTTTGGTCCTGATCTAAACAAATAACAATAATTTTAAATATGGCTTCATTAGTTAGAAATGGTTCATTTTATTTTCATCACTGTTTATAATAATGAAATAGAAAAAAAACTAGTCAAAATTTAACTCACCAAAACACAGCAGCTGGGTCTATTGCAGATGTGATCAACAGATTTATTTCTTCACCATTTGTCTCCTTGCCATCAGCTTGAGGATCTTCTGATGATCAATTTTATGTTGTGTATATAATAAGATAAGTTATTTATAATGTCCACATCAATCCACGTCTAAATAACATCCATTCTTCAAACCAGAATGCAACACAGGATTTAGCTCTAATGATCCAGTTACATAACACCCAAATATAAAAATATCTTCTTGGAATATATGTCATGCAAGCCTACCTCTGAATGCAATACTGGTACTATAATTTACAAATATCACTTTACATTCATCTCTATGCAAACTCAGTTTCATCCTGCTTGTTAAATGATCTGTTCTCCAACGTCAACCAATACAATAACTATCAAACAGAAGTTCCAGGGCTGACTACCCACTCGAGGTCCAAATAAAAAAGAATCAAAACATGGATGTTGTTTTTAATTATTTATGTATTATCATTTCATTCATTTATTATTTAATAACACATTGATACACGACACATGAACACCTGTATTAGTGGGAATGGTAAAATTGTTTCCTGGATGCAAAAATAGCAGTGATTAGCAGACATTTCTGGATTTAGATTTGATATCCATATCAACCAGAGGCGTAGCGAGGTGGGGGCAGGGGGGACAGATGTCCCCGGGCGCAAGCTAGTTAGGGGCGCCAAAATGTGCTCTGATATTATATTATTGGTAAAAATAATGGGTTTGAGAGTTGAAAAAAAGAAAAGGGGGTGCTTTAAGATGGATCTTGTCCCCGGGCGCCAAACACCCTTGCTACGCCTCTGGTATCAACAACAGTGACCTGAGATTATCATCGGAAATTTGTTCTCAAATTTTTCTTAACGTATTTTGTTCTTGAAAATGATTGTTCACACAAGCATGTTGTTCCAAAGATTGAAAGCTACATGGATGCAAACGTTTTGAAATTAGGAAAGTCTTCCTTGGGCGAAAACTAGTTAAAAACCCACCGGTCCTTCTTTTAACTTGTCCCTAAGAAGGTCATTTGCTTGCAACACAATGACTTCCAGGTGCAATTCATTTGGGCGACTGGCCACATCTGCTTTAAATCCAAGTCAGAAAACTGAAAACTGTTGCTGATGCTGCAGCTGGGGGTCTTTGATGATCTCGCATACAATGACGTGGGGAACTCTGCTGTTTCTTCAGCCATGCAGACCGTCCACTGCTGAAAGTGTGTCAAGTTGTTGGCCTGTACTAGTTACAAAAACAAGACGAGTTTGGATGTGAAGGCCTTTAGGTGCGTGTATAGATCAGAAACTAGATTTTTCCTCTGCTTGTAGTTCTAGGTTCAGAAAATTTAAATGACTAGTTATGTCTGCAGCAGAGACCGATTTCCATACCCACTCTTCATCGCACACTAATCGCTGTGGCTTGCCTTTACTTCCCAGGAAGTCACCTATTTCCTTTCTTATCTTAAATAATGATAATAAAAGGTCTTATACTTATATAGCGCGGTACCCCAGCCTAGGGCTGGGCTCACTGCGCTGTACATAAAAATTTTATCAAAAGAGACATAATCATGACATTAAAATAAAATACATTTATGAAATAAAGAACAGCAATGTATATTCACCCACCCCACCACATAACTTTTACAAGGCAAACCATGGACGGCAGCCAGCAAGATCATTTATCGGTCAGAGGAGGGGAATCACTCAGGGTAGTATAATTTAAAAAGATATGTTTTTAGTGCAGTTTTGAAGGCCTGGGTGGTTGGTATATTGCGTATGTTTAGTGGCAAAGAATTCCATTGTTTGGGGGCGCAGAAAGAGAAAGATCGTTCACCATATGTTTTAGTGTGTGTCTTGGGAACGGAGAGAATATGGGTGTCTGCAGAGGAGCGAAGCTGTCGAAGGGGTGAATAGACAGAAAGAAGTTCGGTTAGATAGGAAGGGCAGGAATCCAAGAAAAAGTTGTGATAGAGAACAGACAACTTGTAGTCGATGCGTGCCTGTATAGGTAGCAATGAAGGGAATGGAGTAGTGGAGTGACGTGATCATGTTTTTTTTCCTTTAAATCTAGCCTAGCAGCTGAGTTTTGAACTTTCTGCAGTTTTTCTATGCAGTGTTTTGGTGAACCTGACAGAAGAGAGTTGCAATAGTCAAGACGAGAGAGAACAAGAGCACAGACTAGAGTTTTTTTTTGCACTAACTGTGAGGTAGTGGCGTATGGAGCTGATCTGACGGATAGCGGTGTATGCTGAACGACACATGTGAGATATGTGTTTATCGAGAGACATGTTGTTAGAAAGAATATAACCAAGATTCCTAGCAGAGGGTGTAAACCGTACGTCAGAGTTACCTACTTGAAATGAGGTAGGAAGAGTTGAGGTAGAGGATGATGTGTGATTGTGGATGAGGAGTGCTTCCGTTTTGTCATCATTAAGCTTCAACTTGCTGAGTGTCATCCATGACTTGACATCATCAATGCACCCCCGCAAAGTCTGGACAGCGGATTCAACAAGAGAAGGATGGGTATGCTTGTATAGCTGCGTGTCATCTGCAAATGACTGGCTCTCAACAGCATGCCTCCCAAGCAAGAGGAGCAGTGGTCTGGTATACAATGTGAATAGAATCGGGCCTAAAACGGACCCCTGTGGTACTCCGTACACCAAATCAGCACTGCCTGAGAGACAGCCATCGACAGAGACCGCCTGCGTTCTATCAGAGAGGTAGGACCTAAACCAAGCCAAAACTGAACCAGAAATTCCAAAGTAATTTTCAAGGGTTTTGAAAAGGATTACATGGTCAACAGTGTCAAAGGCCGCACTGAGGTCTAAGAGGATCAGGATGGAGATATCACCACTGTCCAATGCGAGCAAGAGGTCATTGGTCACTCTCAAGAGAGCCGTCTCTGTGCTGTGGAAATGTCTATAGGCCGACTGATTAGAACTGAGAAGAGAGTGGTCAATTAAATAAGCAAAAAGTTGTTTTAGAACTAGTTTTTCAATAACTTTAGATAAAAATGATAAGTTAGATACAGGTCTATAATTTTTTAAATTATTTTCATCCAGACCAGGCTTCTTAAGCAATGGTTTGATGACAGCTGATTTACAAAGAGGGGGAACAGTGCCAGAAGACAAGCTTTCATTTAAATCGACAGAGACCGCCTGCGTTCTATCAGAGAGGTAGGACCTAAACCAAGCCAAAACTGAGCCAGAAATTCCAAAGTAATTTTCAAGGGTTTTGAAAAGGATTACATGGTCAACAGTGTCAAAGGCCGCACTGAGGTCTAAGAGGATCAGGATGGAGATATCACCACTGTCCAATGCGAGCAAGAGGTCATTGGTCACTCTCAAGAGAGCCGTCTCTGTGCTGTGGAAATGTCTATAGGCCGACTGATTAGAACTGAGAAGAGAGTGGTCAATTAAATAAGCAAAAAGTTGTTTTAGAACTAGTTTTTCAATAACTTTAGATAAAAATGATAAGTTAGAAACAGGTCTATAATTTTTTTAATTATTTTCATCCAGACCAGACTTCTTAAGCAATGGTTTGATGACAGCTGATTTACAAAGAGGGGGAACAGTGCCAGAAGACAAGCTTTCATTTATTATGTGGGTTATCGTTGGGAGCAAATGATCTAATGACTCAACCAACAGGGGGGTGGGGATGGGATCCAAATAACATGACGTAGGTTTAGATTTTAAAATTATACTTTTGACCTCAAGTTCTGAAACAGGTTTAAAAGTATCGAAATGTGAAGTAAGACAAGGAACAGGAGGCAAATCCAGGGATGGTGCATCAAAACGATCAAGCTCAGCGCGAATGCTCGCAACTTTGCTTGTAAAGAAATCACAGAAAATATCTGGTTGCTGGGGCAAAGGAAATACTGAAGGAAGAGGAGTTCCTTTGTTACTCCCTCTAAGGTGGCCACAAACATCAAACAACTGCCTGCTGGTTTTACCCATAGTTATCTTTTGGCTAAAATACGAAGTCTTAGCACGACAAACAATCTGAGTGACACGCTTCTTGACAGCGGAAAAGATCTGCTTAAAAACCACAAGACCTGACATCAACCACTTTTTTCCACACTACGGCGCTCTTTCTTGGCACTGCGTAGTTCTTCCCTTATGGTTGCATACCAGGGAGCTGACCGCGTTAACCTAAAATTGCGGCGGCTGACAGGGGCGTGCCGGTCAAGCACAGCGCGCAATGCACGGTCTAGTGTTTCCAATGTAGGGCAGAGAGCGGGGGACACTTCTAAACTCAGGTCATGCTTAAAGGCATCCCTGTTTATAGTTCCCAGACTGCGGACCTCCCTAAACTGAGGGAGAGGGTTGGGGGCCCTTACATTAAGCTCACAAATAATACAGAAGTGGTCAGAGGACAGCTCCCGAGTGACTGAAGCCGATCTAACTAAACCATCTTGAGGCCTATGTAGCACCCAATCAAGAATATGTCCACGATTAAGATGTCGGTTGGTCCACTGATTGCTGAAGACTGAAGAAATCCAAAAGAAGCAACATCTTAGCAGTGGAGGGATGCTGTGGTTGATCGAAATGAAAGTTCATGTCACCTAGAACTCATGCTCAGAACTTTCTCACAACTTACTGTGTAATATGGTAAATCTTGCGATTCTGTGTCTGTATCTTTCAACGGGTCTCTGAACTGTCTATGGTTGAGCCCATGTGGACTTATGAAAGTAACCCAATTTATCACAGGATTCAGTACACTGCTAATGTTCACATATTTAGTACACAAAGCTTTCTATTGAATAATACAGTGCAGGAACATTGGGTGCAGAATTTTTTTCTCATTAGACATCTGCTTCACTTGACCAACCAAGCATGTCTTTATGCCAATCATGTTATTTCCTCCATCAACAGTCAGGCAACTGAGGTTAGTCCAGTCCAAGTTATAATCAGCAAATGTTTTTTTCAACTCATTGAATATATTCTCTCCGGTAACAGTGTCGTACATGCTATGTAGGAAAGCCAGCTCTTGTGTTATTTTCATGTCTTCATCCACACCTCCAACGAAAACAAGCAGTTGAGAAGTGGAACAACTGTCCAGCGATTCATCCATTGGAATTAAAAATTTGTTAAACTTGCTTGCATTTTTCACTCTTTGAATCACAATGTTTTCACCCATGTCTGCAACACGGCGGGAAAAGTTACGCCATTAGATGGCGTTATATAATCTCATTGACTGTGAATGGAAATAGAAAAACTAAGCAGTGTCCTAGGTTTTGCTAAGTAATGATCGGTTAGAAAACATAACGCACTACTGCGCGCCTCTATTTTTATTTGTTAAAAACATAACGTCCTTGAAAGCGGCATCTGATCTTGGCAGGTTACACATAAATTTCCGTAATATTTTCTGTAGACAAAAAGGTCTCCGCTGGCCACATGAGAGGGCCTCATGGGCCCGCATGCAGCCAGCGGGCCGTAGTTTGGAGACCCCTGCTTTAGATAATTAAGATTCTGCCGATTCAAGATTCTCTCTACTTTTTAAAAATGCTTTCAATCATCAATGATAAAATTATTGTTTTGCTATGTTTAAAAAAAAAAAGTGTTTTCAGCCTTACCTTGTGGATCCAAAAAGTCTGGGCACTGAGCATGAGTTCGTTGTGTGAACAACTGTAAACTTGTAATAGGACTGTCCATTTCTGAGCTCCAAGTTTGTTTGATCTCTGCAATAATTGAATTAGAATGGCTAATAAGATAGGCCAGAATAAATTTTATGGTAGTAAATTGATTTTATTTCTAAAAATATACAAAGTTGAAACTGGAGAGTGAAGCAGAGAGTGAACCAGAGGCACATTCTCTTTGCACTTGCTAATGATTGACAGTGGTGGCATTGGTTGGCTGTTGCCTCAGGCATCAGGTGTGAATTAATGAATCAATATGATGAAATTAGATTAAACTTTTATTTTTAATTAAATTATTATCCCACTTATTTTTAAATTACTCATCACCTCTTACAGCATATGTGACTCCTCCTTTCAAAAGAAATAAAAAAACGTCTTCCCTCCCTTGTTTACTTAACATTGCATAAGTTTTAACATTAGTGATTTCTGCAAAATTGAACACAGTAACTTACCTTTTGTAAGTGGGTTTACTAAACTGAGAGTGACTAGGCCTGACTGGATTCCTATTACTGTCAGTCTATTTGCATCATCAATCTTGCGAAACTCCATTTGTGTAACACTGAATCAAGAAATGTAATCATCAATTTTAATTTTATATCTATTTAAGCAGCAAAGAAAATTCTTATGATTTTTAATTTTACATTCCTTGATTGAGGCTCAAAGTAAATATACTTCTGATAAATACATACCAACCATCAATTTTAGCAAATTCTGGAAAGTGTTCTTCAAAAGCTTCGGTTTCTTCATAAAATGAAAGGCCTTCATCAGTCTGAAATTAAATTAAAAAGAATATTGTTTTGTAATGGTTCTCATCAAGCGTATTAGTCATTTAAACAAAAGGTGAAATCAGTTGTGTAAATCTGAAAATGTTTGCCATAACTTTTAGTCCAGCACAATGGAACTTACAGAGTTTTAACATTTCTCATTTTTAAACTTACAAAATTATTGAAAAGAAAACAGTGTTCTTCATGAGAAACTTGTTAATTTATAAAATGTAATTTAGTGTAACTATAATTTAATAGCCAACTAAGTTATCAGTCATTATGGCTCTGTCCCTCTTATCAAGCTTTTATTTAAGTTTACTTCTTTCTAGCTGTAAAGCTCATTAATCTAATCTCAGCTGTCTTGCCTGTCTGTAAACATGGATTTTGTTGTCGTTGCCACTTAGTAGAAGACATGTTTCCGACTGACCATTTTTACAGCAAAATCTGTTTTGTTTTTTTTAATTAAAAAATAACATTCAGATTTTTATTAAAGAATAACAATTGCAGTTTGACAAAAAGAAAAGTTTTATATTTGTATCATTGATCCCAAAAAAAATTTCCCTCTATCATACTTCACAGCTGGCCAATCCTAATATGATTCTGTGATGTAAACCACTACCAGGTCCATCAATTAACAGTGTAATCCATTTTGAGGCCCAGGGAGTCCAATGTAAACCTTTACCAGCCCATGGAGTACCAGTGTAAAATATTACCAGGCCTATGGAGTACCAGTAAACCATTACCAGGCCCATGGAGTACCAATGTAAACCATTACCAGGCCCATGGAGTACCAGTATACAAAAGACTGATTATAGAGAGAATGTAGGTTTACAATATTGGTTTACTTTTTTATTTCTATCCTACAACAACACACAAAAAAAAAGCTTTTGGACAGTAATTACTCCCAGTAATCTATTTAAAGCTATTAAAACTTACTCATGGTGCATTAGTTTGAAAGGTATGAAGTCAAGGCTCAAGTATTGTATTTGTGATTCTGTAATGGCATCAGAACAAAGATGTAATAATAGCAGCTAAATTATTATTTTTTTTATTATAAAACACAGTGGAGAAGTTAGATGACTTAAAAAAATATATATAAAGAAATTCAAAGTGAACAGCAGAAATGTGAATAATTAAGTCAATATTTAGAAAGTGTCTGGTTTTCTCAAGGTGGATTCAACGCCTGGAATAAGTTTGCCAAAATACCTGTAAGTCATCATCCAGACAAGAGGGAAAAATCAAACAAATATTTAATAATACATTGTTCTCATTTTTTGACTATTTGTTTCTTTGCCACACAAGTTTTTTTTTAAGGGAAAAAAACATAAATGACTAAAAATATCTAGAGGAGTTACTTTACATAATTAAATATTTCTGACACTAATTTGATAGGGCAATTAATAATTTAGAAGATTCACTTTTATTTGTAGTGCACAGTTAAACCAACTTCTATTTTAAATAATTAAGACCTTTTTAGCTCAGCAAGTGATGGTGTAAGTCATAGCAGGCTCAATATTAGTGAAACTAACTCAGCAAACAAATTTTAAAATTAAAATTTATTTTTTTTTACTTACGATTGATAGCATCCACAATACTGGTGTATGCCACATCAGTTTCCCTTTCAGGCAGGAAGTAGATATTCATATAAGCACTGGGAGGTTTGTCTTCATAAGATGCTTCCAACTACATATATTTTCATGATTTTAATTTTAATAAGTTAAATATCTTAAAAAGTAAATGTTGGATTGAATGGGATTTACAAATAACACAAAATTTATAAATTTTATATAGATGCATGATAAAATTAAAGTTTCATTTCTTTAAAAAATTATGCAGCACTCAGTTTACCTTTAAATATGATATAGCAAGGATCATTCTGTTATTTGGTAAGTTTTGGCAAATGACATCCACAGAAACAATTTCTATTTCTCCTGAGAAAAAAACTATTTTGTAAGAGTTAAGCTGTTTTGTATTCAAGTGATGTAAGATTTTAGGATTTAAGGAGAACACAGTGGATACATTTTAACAAAAATTATATTAGCATATTTCAGTCAATTTTTGCTCCCCCCCCCCCCCCCCCCCCCCCCCCCAAGCTGTTTTGTATTCAAGTGATGTAAGATTTTAGGATTTAAGGAGAACACAGTGGATACATTTTAACAAAAATTATATTAGCATATTTCAGTCAATTTTTGCTCCCCCCCCCCCCGGCCAGGATCTTGACACAAAATTTAGACACATTAATTACACATGGACACTAGATGTGTGGCACCATTTATTGATGACCCCATAGGTATCAATGAGGGAATAAGAACATATCAACAATCAAATAAGTACTATGAGATAATTTTTTTGCAGTTCAATAAAAATATCAAACCTGACGTAGTGAAATTGCTTGTGTCAAAAAAGACATCCTCTTTGGTAATGGGGATCAGCCTGTTGTCAAAAGATTTCTGGTACTCAACAGAAACAAAGTGACCATCAATAGACACAGCAAGAAGCTTTGTAAGGCCATCTTGAGATGCAATTTTTGACAATCCATAAATGTTTGTTTGTGACCTTAAGCCACAAAAATGGGCATCTGTCCAGTATAACTGTTTAGCTGCCATGGTTACTTTATAAGGCATATAAACATCAATTACTTCTGTGAACAAATGTGAATTATTAGCATCAAAATTCAAGCTCAAAACTTCTTTGCAATTTTTTAGATAAATAGTTCTCAAAGTAGGAATTACTGTCCCCCAGGAAACAGTGGGATAACTCAGTGGGGGAGCTAAACCTATAGAGATGGGGGAGGGGGGCTGGAAATACCAAAACGAGGTGCTGAATTTCAGGAATAAGCTTTTAATCAAAATTATATTATCCAAACTAAGTTTCACGGGTAGATGCGACTCGTTAGCCTTGGACGGTAACTCATCTGAGAGAAGGCAAACTCTGACTTGAAACCATGATCTTGGACCCTCAAATATAGGGGAAAAAAGATTCTCAGCATTAGAGCATGAAATAAGAGGCAAGATACATTTTTTTCCTTGATACTAGAAGAGAAGAAAAACATTTGATGTAACTTCCAATGAGCATACATAAATTACTACAGTGAAACCTGAAAAAAGGGAAAACCTTTGGGACCGAAGCAAAAACAGGGATTGTGCTATTCACAGGTTCAGCCAGAATGATGATCATTGAGAATAATTTGAAAGAAGAAAATATATGCACACTGAAAATAATAAGAAATGACAAAATAAACAAAAAGTGAATACATTTACATGTGGGTGCTGGGCGTTTTAAACCGAGTGGATTGTGGACTGGAGTTCAATCAGCAGCAAAAGTCTAGACAAGCAAAATCAACAACGGCCGCCCTGAGTGGATGGGACTTGTTAACCTTGGATGACAGCTTATCTAAGAGAAGGCACACTCTGAAATCAAACCAGGAGATGGAGTTCTGTAGACTTATGACATTGACACTCTGAAAATTCCGAAAATTTCCGTGATGTGGAATGCACAAGAGCACAGTGAAACACAGAAACGCCACTGGTCTATTTTAAGTAGTTTTTGGCTAAGTCTTGCCATTGCAACAAATAGGCAAGGAAAATAGAGTAAGGACGAATTGAGCAACTCTCCCTCACTTTAAGTTTAAACAAAATACAGCTCAGGTCAAAGTCCTGGTCATCTTTGCATGTGAAGGACAAACAATATATTAAGCATAATAACCACAAAACAATTATGAAATGAAACTAAGCAAGATTTTAATTTTGCTTAAAGATACCCATGCGGTTCATTTACATTAAAGTAATTTACAATTTTGTACGAGTCTTCTGACAACCCACTAGTTTCATCATGATACTGTAGTAGAACACTGATTGGCGACGTGAAAGGTCTCAGTTACTTCCTGTTTATGGCAAAATGTGATGCCAGCAAAGCATGCTATTTGCTAATTACAGGGAAAAACAAGATTTTGTCCTACAGAAACCTGTATTGTGCACTATTTCAAGGGTTTTTTGTAAAAAAATTTATCTGTGCCGGGGCTGAGTTAGAAATATGTCAGGGATAGTGCTATTTCAAAGTTTGCTATTTCAAGATTTCTTATTACATTTTGTAATTGGTTTAGTTAACAAGCTGAAAATCAATAGACACTATTAACACTTAAATTTTAGAGTGAAGATGGAAGTGGAGAGCAAGGAAGTGGGCATGAAAAGGAGCATGAAGGCAGCTGCACAATTTATCCATTATTGAGCTCTGTTGCTAGCTATCGCATTTGTAATTTTAATTTTTATTATAAATTAAGTCTAAACTTTCTTCTTTATTTTCCAAGTTACAGATATATCATCCACTTTTTGTATTATTCTTACATTTATTAGGTAAAAGTTCAATTAAGCAAGTCATTTGTCATCATATTAAAAAAATAATTCTGATGTAATGATTTCGCAATTTTGAATTTACCAAAGCTAACTGGTTTATTTAAATTAATATTTACTTTTTAGGAACTTAATAGCCCTACTGATACTGAAGTCAGGCCTGCACCTGGGGGGACAACCATGGCACTTGTCAGGGGCCCGAGCTAGATAGGGGCCCACCCTTTTTTGAGTTTTATAATATACGCACATGTTTGAAATACAAAAGGGGCCCAAACTCTTTCAGCTGCCTGGGGCCCAGAATTTCCTGATTCCTAGGTGCGGGCCTGCTGAAGTAGATTTAGTTTAAGAATTTTTCAATGTTTTTCTACTCAATACTGTTTAACTGTAAGGTCATTAATCATTAATTAAGTATAGACTTCTAATCAATAAATGAAATGTATTAGCAATAAGTATTAGTATTACAGTGTACTGTAAAGTAGGCTACTGTAGTTTTCGTCTATAGTATAGTACTTACTGTTGTAAGTTAACATACTGATTAGTAAGTAGTAGTATTAGAGTGCACTGTACGTTAGTGTAAGTGTAGTGTAAGTCACAAGTGTAGTGCAGTGTGTTTTTTTTTTTTATGGCTGAAAAGGAAAGTGTTAGTAGTTAGTTAGAGAGTGTACTGTGTATCAGAGTAACAATAGTGTTGAGTGTAACACTGTTTTATTTTTTTTATGTGTACATTCATTAGGTCTAAGTAGGTATCAGTAGGAGGCTACTTCTTCTTCTATATATTAAGGGCCCACGATCAATTTAGAGGGGATTTGCAATGTTTCTGTGCTTGTTGTTGATGAGGGTATTTCACCGATTGCATGTGCTACTTTTTGAGGGAATCATGCACTGGGGGTTGAAAGGCTTAAGACAATAGACGCAAATGTGTCTAGTATTTTCGCCTCAACTGTTCCTTTTGAAAGATTGTTCCAGTCCCTGATTGTCTTTGGCAGGAATGAGCAGTTCTTATACTGGCTTCATGCTGGTATGAGCGGGAATAGCCTGTCATGGCCTTGTCACTGTCTATGGGGGAGAGGGACGAGTTTCTGTTTAATACTGGAACAATGGACTAGCCCATTATTTATCTAGTACAATATGGAAAGCCTGGATAGTCTTCTTCAATCCTCCAATGGTGACCAGCCCAGTGTTTCTAGCACGCTGCCGACACTAGAGGTATTCCTGTAGTGGGTCAGGACAAAGCGTGCTGCCCATCGCTGGACCGCCTCCAACCTGTCAATGCTCTTCTGGGTAAATGGGTCCCATACTCAAGATGCATAATCTAAAAGCGGATGGACAAAGGCTTTAAAGGGTCTTTCTTTCATACAGGAGTTGCCAATCTTTAGATTATGCCTTAAGAATCCCAGGGTCTTGTTTGCCTGGTTACACACATTTTTAATATGCTCGTCCCAGCGGACCTCTCTTTGAATGGTAACACCCAGGTACTTTACGGAGGAAACTGGCTCAAGTATATGGCCGTGCAGTTCGTATTGGTAGTGTAGAGGAGTACAACTTCTAGAGACTGATAGTGTCTGGCACTTGGCAGGGTGAAATTCCATGTCCCAGCTCATCTCCTACTCAGCTAACCGATTGAGATCCTATTGTAGCTGGTCCAGGTCAGATATGTTGACAATCATCCTATATACAGCGCTGTGTTCTGCGAACAGTCTTGTTTGGGATGTCAGTTTCTCGGGTAGGTCATTAATGTATGCTAGGAACAAGCAGGGGCCTAGCACTGATCCCTGGGACACCCCTGACTTCACATTGACAAAGGAGGAGCTTGTACCGTCCACCACTACTGCTTGGCATCAGTCGCTGAGGAAGCTAGAGATCCATGTTTTAGTGGTGCCTTGGATCCCATATCTCTGAAGTTTGTGTAGAAGCAAACTATGATTGACACGGTCAAATGCCTTTGAGAAGTCCATCACCAGCACGTCAGTTTGCTTGTGGTTCTCCATATTGGTCATCAAGTCTTCTACAAATTCAAGGAGCTGGGTCTCACATGATCTATTGACTCGGAAGCCATGTTGACTGTCATTGAGTATATTTTGGCTTTCAAGATGCTTCATGACTGTGGTTACGATTATGTGCTCCAACACTTTGAAGACCACACTGGTGAGGGATATCGGACGATAGTTGGCAGGGTCGGAATGCTCCCCTTTCTTGTAGATTGGAGTGACATGCGCTGTTCTCCAATCTGCTGGAACATTTCCTGTGCAAAGCGACGATTGGAAGAGGATTGTCAGTGCAGGAGCGATTTCTTTGGCTAATTCTTTGAGCACTCGTGGTTTGATATTGTCAGGACCACATGCTTTGTAGGGGATAATGGTTTTGAGGAGGGCAAGCACACCCTGCTCTGATATCTGGATATCTTCCATGACTGGGTAGGCTCTGTTCATCATTTTGGTCTTCAGAAGGAACTCAGCCTCTGAGTACTCTCTACCGTCACCAATACTAATACTTACTTACACAAACTTACACTTAACACTTAGGCCTAGGAAGTTCTTTTCAAGACTTTGTGACTGCTGAGTAACTGAGTGTGACTTGGTTGGTAATCTGTGTAGTTTGTCGACTAGACAATACTGTCACTACAGTGTCAAACGAGTTTCAACGAGTCACTGTGTAGTGTGTATAGTATATAGATAGTCTAATTCTAATATAGAAGACACTAGTACTAGTTCTAGTGTGTATACTACTACTACTGTATGATAACGTATGCTGAATCATACTGAATCTGAACACTATAAATAGTATGTGTACCTAAGTATAATATTAATAGTATGTTTTGTAATTCTGTGACCATGACATGTGTTACGTTACCGTCACCCGTTCCTTCAGTACTTGTGATTGTAAGTTTTAGTTTTAGTTAAACAGTAAAGTAAAGTCAGTAATCAGTTCAGTAAAGAGGAAAGAGTAGTAAAGACTAAAGTCAAAGTGTAGTATAAGTGTACTTTTAGTAGTGTAGTCATGCTAAGAAAAATAAAATAAAACTTAATATATTTATCAAAAGCCTATTTTAACTTAAAATTTAATTACCTTTATGTGTTTTTATTTTAAACTTTGGTTTAATCTCTAACTAGTAATTATACTTTTATAAAAATATAAGGATATCTTTTTTAACAACCGAGTAAGACTCAGTAAGGTCATTTCCTTTTAATGAAGAACGTAAACAAAAATGGAGACGGAAAAGGGAACACATGCGGAAAATACTGATGAATTTATTCAACCTAAGACCAAATCAAGAAAGAGAAAGAAACCTGACACGGACACGAATGACATTTCAGATCCCTCTTTAAAAAGACCCCATTTTCAACCTTTAAAAGCTGTGGCATCTACGGTAAACTATTTAAAAAAATTTCTTTAACTTAAAAGTTAGGTAGTTGGATAAAATTTTCAAATTGAATGAATTAAGAAATGAACACATCTGCAAGATAGCCCTTGTTAAATGAAGTAATAATATGTTTTCTTCTTCTTCTATATCTTAAGGGCCCACGATCAATTTATTGATCATTTTGGCTCCTATGCATGTAGATGGGATTTGCAATGTTTCTGTTACTGGTGTTGATGAGGGAATCATGCACTAGTAGCCCTTTTGGTTAAAAAGTTATGATTTTTTTGTGAATAAAAAATCACTATTTTTACATAGAGATTTGTGACCACTTTTCAAAAAAAAATTATGAAAAGGCTCATAACTTTATATAGATACTTCGACGAAACAAGGGAGACTACTACTTTTTTTGTATCGGAAATGGGCGTCGGCGCCGAGAAATCCAAGTTTTTAATTTTCCGATGTGTGTGTCTATTTATTATTAAATTAGTTCTTTCGACATATATTTGAGTTCCATTTCCGGCCTTATAATTTGGTAGACATCTTGGCCTACATTTCTAGCAAGCTATTTTGCTTTTTTCAATCGACCTTTATTTTGAAAATCTTTGGTATATATAAGACATCTTCGCATTAAAAATTTTTTATGAAATAATAAGATAAGGTCCTTTTTTATTAAATCTGTATGAGCATTAGATATTGATCTATATCTGTGCCAAGTTTCATTGATGTAGATCGTGTCTCACGTTTGTTACACTTGTCACAGTGACCCATATCACCATAAGTTGGCTCAGCCTAATTTCGACATGGCGTGGACCACGTCCCCTTTTTAATGGCGGAAGTTGCCGATACTTAGGAAATATTAATTTATTACCACTATTTACATCAGAATAATTGATAACTTGTGTTTCAGAATGCATTTTGAAGACATTTAAACTGGAATGTTTTAATTTGAGCTTTAACAACCCGGTAGAATCCATATTATAAATGATCAGAATTTACCGTGTGCAACACGTTGTCATTGGCAACCATTCACAGCCACTTGCATAACGGCTATATCGTAGTACTATCTCAGAGTTTCATTCATAAGAGTTTGCCGTGTGCAAAATCTATTAAACCATTGGTCGGGGAAAGCTTTAATTAATTATTCATGTGCCAAAGTTGAAAGTTAAAAATAAGTGGACCCTAAACAGTATTTTAGTGATAGGGAATGCGTTGCCTTATATAAACTATATAGTCATTGCGCATGACGCGATCAGTGGAATGAGGTCACAGAATGTGGAGATGCAGTAAAAATAAACCAATGGCACAGTTGAATAGAGCTAATTTTTAACAGAATTATAACACCAAAATCATATTTTTAGCTGTTGCAGTTTTAAAGTTATGAATTTTTAAAGTACGACTTGGTTTGTCCTTTTTTAACATGGACTGCATCTCCACATTCTGTGACCTCATTCCGCTGATCGCGTCATGCGCAATGACTATATACTTTATATAAGGCAACGCATTCCCTTATCACTAAAATACTGTTTTGGGTCGACTTATTTTAAACTTTCAACTTTGGCACATGAATAATTAATAAAAGCTTTCCCTAACCAATGGTTTAATAGCTTTTGCACACGGCAAACTCTTATGAATGAAACTCTGAGATAGTACTACGATATAGCCGTTATGCAAGTGGCTGTGAATGGTTGCCAATGACAATGTGTTGCACAGGGAAAATTCTGATCATTTATAATATGGACTCTGCAGGGTTTTTAAAGCTCAAATTAAAACATTCCAGTTTAAATGTCTTCAAAATACGTACTGAAACACAAAATATAAAATATTTTGATGTATATAGTGGTAATAATTAAATATTTCCTAAGTATCGGCAACTTCCGCCATTAAAAAGGGGGCGTGGCCCACGCCATGTCGAAATTAGGCTGAGCCACCTTATGGTGATATGGGTCACTGTGACAAGTGTAACAAACGTGAGACACGACCTACATCAATGAAACTTGGCACAGATATAGATCAATATCTAATGCTCATACAGATTTAATAAAAAAGGACCTTATCTTATTATTTCACAAAAAATTTTGTATGCGAAGATGCCTTATATATACCAAAGATTTTCAAGATAAAGGTCGATTGAAAAAAGCAAAATAGCTGGCTAGAAATGTAGGCCAAGATGTCTTCCAAATTATAAGGCCGGAAACGGAACTCAAATATATGTGGAAAGAACTAATTTAATAATAAATAGACACACACATCGGAAAATTAAAAACTCGGATTTTTCGGCGCCGACGCCCATTTCCGATACAAAAAAAATAGTAGTCTCCCTTGTTTCATCGAAGTATCTACTATGATGACTAACACTAACTCTCAAGACAACTAAACTACTGATACTGATGATACCCAGGTGATACTGTCAGAGACCTTGGCTTTTATATTGACAGTTAACTTAGTATGATTCCCCATAATACATTAACATGTTTCTGTCATCTGGTGCCCTGGGTCAGCTGCGTCCTCAACTCAATAGGAGAAAAGCCAATGCTGTAGCAGTAACTCTAATCCAGTCAAGATTAGATTACTGTAATAGTTGTTTGTGGGGTTTATCTCAGAACCAAATTCAGAGACTCCAAAAGATACAAAATACTGCAGCATGCATTGTATCGCAGTTGAAAAAATCTGACCACATCACCCCAGTTCTACAAGATCTCCTTTGGGTTCCTGTGAGTGAGCGCATTAACTACAAAATTCTGTCCCTGGCGTACAGCTGCATAGATGGCTCAGCACCGGAATTTCTCAAGGAACTGATTTATAAACATGTATCCTTGAAGAGCCTGCTGTCTTCAACGCAGTACTTACTAAGTCGTCTCAGTGTTCCTAGTGTGGATGAACACAGAAAAAAGTCTTACGGAGTACGCTCTTTTGAAACGATATTTCCAAAATTATGGAACAGTTTGCCTCAATCTTTGAGGGGAATTGTTAATGATAAAAAAACATTTAAGAAACAATTAAAAACTTTTTTGTTCGAAATCTGTTTAGAGGACCAGAGCGCAGTGAGCATGCTAAAGTGGCACGGATACCGGTGCGATATAAATATCAAATCAATCAAAATCAATCTATACTGATTTAACTTCATTTAACGGTATTTAATACTATTTAACCATTTAGACTTATGTGTTCTTGTTGTTGTCTGTAGTACTATTCACTATTTATTATTAATATCTAAAGAATATTATTATTATTATTAAATTAAATAAATTAGGGAAATTTTTTAAATTTGTATTGTAAAAATATTAATTAATTAATACAAGTAAGTGACGAGTCAGCATATTTTATTCATTTTTAATAAGGAAACTTATCAAGATTTAAAAATTATTTTTTTTTTGCGGAATATTAACAAAAACTAAAATTTTATTTTTTGGCTTTATTTACAAGAAATCATATTTGACTTTGTTCCCTGTAAATATTATATTTTTGTCTCATTTTATAACCAAGTTATAGGCAATAAAAACAATAGCAATATATATGAGGGGGACGAAATGTGGAGAAAAACCCTTTGCTGTCCTTACTAAAAAATTCATAACTTTTGAACCACTTGAGCTAGAAAGTTGATCTTGGTGTTTTTGTAAACCATCCTCTATGCAGCTGTAGTATTTTTATATTTTTAAAAATGTTCGGAAATTTTCATCAAAGTAAGTTAACTAATAACTATAATTATAATATTTATATTATATTATAAGTAGTAGGCCTACTATTGATATATCTAGGAGTAGGCACTTTCAGAAAATGCCGAAAACTGAGTATCATGATTTCTTTGTCAAACTGGCGACCTCCACTTTTTAATTTCAAAGTGTCTACATGTTCGGCGGCCAGACAAATAAGTCTCGAGATATTCATCCAGCGACCAGGTCACATGACCGTCAGTCTTGTCACGTGACCCCTAATAGTCGATCATAAAACTGGCATGGGAGATGCATGGGGGGGGGGGGGG